CTTGTGTCACTAGTACATGTCACAGCAGTGTGCTTTAGAGAAAAAAAACAGTAGGGATTTAAATTTGACCCTCTGGTACCATCTGGGGGTGGAACTGTGTGTTGCAGGCAGAGAAGGGTAGAGCAACCTTAGCCAATACTAAAAATAAAGTATTATTACATTCCAGGGGTTTCACCATGTTTAAAGATTTGTGATACGCTAAGTATTGCAAAATGACATATTGCAGTGCATAGCCACTAATAGAAATTATTCCTGCAATATTTTTTGTCTAATTTTTAAGTGTTTACACTTCATCACATTTGAATATTTTTATTAAAGCAAAACAAAATTGTGAAGTAGACAAAGACTTAACCCTAGCAGATGCTTTTATTTGTAAAGTAGGCAAAGAACATTTAATGCTTTCACTTTTATTTAGAGCAATTTTCAGTTCAATATATTTGTTTATAGTTCATCATAAATTTTGTCATTTAACTTACAACATATATATTAATACATAATCAAAATGTATTTGGTAAAATATAACATGAAATTACATATAGCCTAAACGTACTATTAAATATTATATTATAGTCTTAGTCCAACTTTGCATTGTAATTTTTGGAAGCAAATGATGGTAAGGTTATTCTCTGCCCCTTCTTCTTTAAAACTTTATCAGAATCACCACCTAAACTCAACTGAATATAAACCAAATTACATACATCCATTTTATTATTAAATGAAAACACAGTAATAATAACATTCTGATCTACCCTCAGGGCACATTGGAATTTTGGAACCAGTGAACGTCAACGGACTAAAAATACCTGATTAAACCATCATGGAAGGCATCAATTAGATCTTAAACCAGAAATTATTCGCAAGACCATTGAGTGCGATGCCTCCAATTTCCGAGTCTATCTTACCCCGAGACCTAGACAAGGTAAAGACAACATCAAGACAAGACCAAGACCATTATTTATGGTCTTGAGACTGAGACTGTACTCAAGTTCTACAAGACTAGTTGCAGGTAAATATAATGTTAGTAATCACATCCATTGAATCTTATTAGTTTGTTACAATAGTGCTGCTCAGTCCTGCCTGAACCCTGTTTTCCTAAGTGAGGGGCAAGCATATACTCCTATACACCATCTATTCATAGCAATAGCCTCACTGATAGAGACATTGGTCTCAACATAAAAGAGTGCCATCTCTTGAACTAAGACAGAAAGGCATTTTGGTAATATTTTGCATGTGGTCTAACAATGGGCTTAGTACACATTGAAATGTCAATACTTGAGCCTCCATGTATTGATTCTACATTTAAACCACCAATATCACAATATTACACTATCAATTATTTGTCCCACCCCTAGTTACTTCCATAAAATAATAACTCAAGTAGCCTAGCAAAAACCTAAAAAAAAAGCAGGAGCAAAAAAGACTCACAACAAAATAACAACAAAATACATGAATTCCATACAGAATTGCAGTGGAACTTCTTGGTACAGCCAGCCGACCAAAAGAAATGAATTAAATTAAAAACAGTGAAAGAATTACAGTACTCAATGATTAAGGTGGAACTGAGTAACAAGTACATTTGTTTCCTCTCAAACACAAGCAAAGTTTAAAGAATTAGGATTTGAAAATACAGAAATATTCACTCACTGAGCACTTTATTAGGAACACTATACTAATACTGGTTAGGGCCTCCCTTTGCACTCAAAACAGACTCAATTCTTCATGGCATGGATTCCAAAAGATGCTGGAAACATTCCTTTTGAGATTCTGGTCCATGTTGACATGATTGCATCATGCAATTCCTGCAGATTTTTCAGATGCGCTTTCATGCTGCGAATCTCCAATTCTACCATATTCTAATCTTTGAGATGTAAACAGTGTCATTCAGAGTGGTCTGATGTGAAATGGTTCATAGTAGAGAAACTTACCGACTATGAACCAGTAATTCTAAACTTGTGATGGTATTAGTGTATGTAATGGTGATAATAGTAAAATAGTGGCAAATCTAAAAAACTTTTTTTAGGGTTTTATTTTGCCTTACGATGCCCTGTACCTCTCTGCCACTAATAGATTTTAAAAACACATTTAAAAAATATTTTCTCAAAACTATCATACAACGTCTCCAGCATCAGGCAAGGCATTTGCGACCATTTAATATAATACATATCTGAGAGGTGGCTTTTAGAGGCATTAACTACTTTGGACATCCGGTTCCTATCACCTACTGTAAAAACTTCAGACTCTGTGAGTTTCTCTAGAAAGGAACATTTCACATCAGATCACTCTGAATGACTTTGTTTACAGCTTAACCATTTAATAATGCAGAAAAATTGAACTATCATTGGAATTACACTTTAACTAATCTGTTATTTTTTAAAATGCTGACAAAGATTTAGTACTTAAAATGCAGAACATATGATCAAACAATCACTATATGGACATTTTTTTTTCTGAGCCTATTGGTAAAGACATACTGGCAAACATTGTAGCTAGCAACAGCATAACAGTTTGGCCTCCTGTTAGCCTGTCTCTGCAAAATGTATTTTGACTGGACACTTTAACAAATCCTCAGGACTTGGCCAGTGGTGTTTGTACAGAGTGGACCAAAGGAGTTACAGCACAGTTCCAAATATGAAATCAACAGTGTGGTCTACTGGAAAGCATACAATGTGATATTTTTGAATTTTTATTATAAGCACCACCAGTCAGTTTATTTTATCATTATTATCCCAGCTTTAAATCTAAGCATACCTCATGCATGGCTAGACTGCTCATGTTCGGACCAAGAACTGAAGCTCTGTTACATGAATTATGCCATCGAGCTCGAATGTCAGCAACTCAGTGAATTTTCTTTACTAATCCTAAGGCCTTGGTAAAACAAACTCTAAAGCTTAGTTTCCATGTGAACTAAAATAAATAAAATAGTGCATTCATGATGAAGATATGAATCTTCACTGCAGCGATGGCATGTTAATGCTTAGCACTGTGTAGACAGGAATGCCTCTGAGCATAACTGTGAGGAAGCTGGCTGGGAGAAAGGAGGATCAGGCCTTTGAAAACAGCTTTGAAGCAAAGGGTGTCATAAATGAATAACACAATAGCTCCTAAGATTCCAACAAAAGGGAGAAAAGGATGGGCTGAACAGTCTTTTGGGGACAGGTGTTCAGTTTTTTTTAAAAAAGGAGCCAAAGAGATCCTCAAAAAAGTCATACACTTCAACAAGAGCAGGTTCATGCATTAGTATAGGCTCTAATCAGAATCAGACTCAGAATCTTTATTTGCCCAAGTACCAGATGTACAAGGAATGCCTCTTGCAGGTGCAGTCAACATAAAATAAATACAGAAAAAATAATACTTCTGTAAGTAATATTAAGGATGTGCAATGAGAAAATCGAGTTCTGTACTGAAGTACATATATACAGTATGTACAGCAAAAAGAGTTGAGCAGCAAATATTAATACAAATGTAGACATTTATAAAAGATGTATATTGCAAAAAGTGCAAATATGTGCATTTATGGACTACAGTAGAGGAAAGTGGGAGGCTTTTATTCTGAAGGATTATGGCATGGTTTATATAGTGGCTATGTACATTACAGTGTGTGTAATGATGAATGCCTATTGAGCAGGGTAAGTCAAATTAAATCAAGTAAGTCAAATCAGCTTTTCTAGAAACTTACTAAACTGTGTGCTGCTAAAATGACTCTGGAATGGAACTGAAAAACAGAGCTTTCAGATAGAAACTGCACTACAGGTTTGAGATTACACCAATCCAAAACCCAAAAATACTGCACTCAGCATTACGTTCTGCCATGTCACTTGAAATCAGTTGAGTGAAAGACCCTCTCCCCTGAGACCCACGCATGTGAAAATATGGCAAAAGACAGAAGCAAAAGAAAGGTTTCAAAAGAAGCGATTCCAGAAGCAAAAAATGTTTTCAGAAAATCAGCAAACAGAAAAAAATGAAAGACTGGCAAAATGAGTAATAGATTTATCTTAATGAGTAGTAATCTTTTTGATAAATCAAGTTTAGCTCTCATTATTTGTATTAGTAATCATCTTTTAGACATTTTTAAACTCTGTATTTTGCTTGTGGATTTCATTAATTTTTATTTGAAACTTTGGCACAAAATGAACTTTATAAAATATTACAGGTACAAAAATGCACCTTATTATTTTGCAAATCTATCAAGGACTGGCATGTATTGTAGTGGACAATGACAGTCGAATGAATGACAGTTACATCACTTTAAATGATGAAATTCTTAATACTTTTGCACTGCAAGTGATGTTTTTTGTTTGAACGAGTTAAACTGAATAAAACAGCTGCAGGTTTGTAACTATGTATTTCTAGAGCTCTAGAGCATGTTGACAGCTATGCATTTCTAGAGTGACTGAGCATGGTGCTTTTAGATGGCCATCTTTGTGGCTTCAACAAAAAATTCAATCAAAAAATTATGTGAATAAGTACAAACTTTTATGCAAATTTTGACAATTGTATTCCATATTTCTTGCACTTTTTATCAAGCTTTTTTTTTAGTCAAAATTCACATTAAAAAGGATGGAAACCTAATAAGGCTGACTGTCAAGTGAAATAGTGGTAAAGTAAAATAAGTGAAATAAATAAATAAACAAAAATGAGAAAACATAACATTTAATTTTTGTATCCAAAATAAAAACACAATTTCAAAAATGTTTTGCAGGACATTTATTCACAGACAGAGAACAATACTTCTCTGAAAAAAAAATAGAAATTCCTAATGTGGCATGCTTCAACAACTGTGCTATTTCCAAATGAATCGAATCAAAATTCCAAAAAAATACTTATATATATATATATATATATATATACACATACACACATACACATATATACATACACACATACACATACATATATATACATACATACACACACATACATACATACACACACACACACATACATATATATGTGTATATGTATGTATGTATATATATATATATATATATATATATCTCAAGAGTGATCCTAGGAGTGTAGAGGTATATTTTACAGACAGTATTACAGGATGAGTCCAAGATCTGCTCGGCAGCAACGAGTCCTCAAGAAAAGAGTTTTACAAAGTCCGCTCTCTACGCTCTCACCATGTAAGAGATTTGTACACAGCAGCCTGAGAAAAGAGAATTCATCATTCTCCGTCAGTGTACCCACTGGCACTGCTATATTGCTACTAAACTGAACTGACACCAGTATGGAAAAGACCTAGTACACTGGAGGGAAACTGCAGTCAGTCCAGTCCATCTGCATATGTATGTTTCTGTGAATACAGGGGAAATTCTCTCCAAAACGTCAGTAGCTCATTATATAACACTCAGCCAAGAGACATGCCGGCCTGAGCATGAACAAACTCCATCCAATCAAACAATGTTATTCAAGGCAGCGATCCAGACTGAGACTCCTTCTGCTGTAGCTTCAAAATCAACTCAAGTAGGTTCATCTGCATTGTCACTTCCTGTAAAATGAAGACAGAGAGAAGTAAAGGTTAAGTAAAATTATCCCCATGAGGAAGATATACTAGACAGAACAACAGACAAAAGCTACTAATGATGCTAGTATAACATACAGAACGGTAACTGCTAAATGACAGAATTGATAGGATAAGGCATCTAGCCATTAATATTGTGTAAGCGTTAAGTACTAAAAGTTAGATCTCCTAAATAAGCAAAACACCAATTTTAAATGAAAAACTAATTGCAATGTTTTCTGATGTGGCTACATATTTACTCATTGATCATTTTATCAGGTTCACTTAGGTGCATTTATACAGTACATGCACGATAAACAATAATAATAATAATAATAATGATAGCCCTTCTGGTGCTGCACAATATTTGAGCCATCCTCAACCCCAACCTCATGGAAAGAGGCCACCATAACACCACCATTTACCAAATATTATTATTTTCTTTGGTCACTCTCAGCACAAAAGTGATACCAACATGGTGGTACGAGTTGGTCAGGTTTTTAAACACCTGTGTGTCACTGTGTAGCAGAAGCAGTTTTAATCTGTATTAATTTCATTAGAATATTACATTTAATGTTAAAGTCATTAGCATTGTAGTTAAATTACATTATCTCTTATGAATGGAATTCTTGGGATCAAATTATTTATGATGTCATTGCTGTAATGGTCACTATGTTATGTGTATTGCAAGACGGTCAGAAAAAGTCAAGCTCTGCTCCTATAAATAATATAAAGTGTAAAAATTGTTATAAAAAAATGTAAATGTGAAATAGTTTGTTAATATATGTGGATTACATTTTGTAAACAACTCTTATGATTTGTTTAGTATGTTAATATTAGTGAGTGATTAGAAAGCTGTTGGACACAGAGCAGTCTGCCTCTTGAATGTAAACAAACTGTTTGACTGTGGTTTACACATTGTTGTACAGAAGCTGAGAGCTGTAGTCTGTGCCTTTTTATGACCCCAATAGGTATGTCAGGTATGTTTATTTCATTATTTTTACTTTATTAATATCTTTCTATGTATTTCTGTTGTTTTAGTAAGTGTTGTTTCTGAATGTAACGGTCTATTATTGTTGCCATAGTAAAATAACAGAAAATGGGTTCTTGTCAGTCAGCTGCATAATAAATCATATCAAATCAAAACAAAGCGATATAATTTCTTTTATGCCTTTTTATGACCCGAACGTTTTGTGTTTGTCACCTAATAAACTCGCCACTACGCCTGAACCCAAAACCTTGTGAAGAATCATTACTCACATAAAATGGTCACAGGCGGATACAGAGGGGTTACAACTGCAGAGTTAAGAAAACTCAACCAACCAAAAAAAATATCCATCTAACAGTGATCCTGATAAAGAGCTAGAGAGTGACTAACAAGATGTGCAAGGAAAAAGATGAGCTTTAGCCTCCATGTGTACACCTACAAAGTGGCCAGGAAGCGTACAGAATTTAAAAACTTCAGCAGCGCTACACAGGATACACTTATACCAGCATGTTAATATGCCACTATCCTGATAATCCACCACCCAAAATAATATCTGAACACTGGTGGTCCTATGGTGATTTTTTTGATGAATGAGGTAGAGGGTAAACCTATATGGCAGGTGTACCTGATAAAATGGCCAATAAGTGTAGGCACCTAGTAGGAGTGCCTTAATAAACAGGCAACTCAGTGTACATGACTAAGTATATGTACTTGTGGATTGGTGGTGATGTAGAAGCCAGGCACTCCTGCTTTCTCAAGTGTGTTCTGTTGGTCCAGGACCTTCTGGTCCATCTCAGCTATGATCTTCTCATCCATCATTCGCTGCTCATCTTTTATACGCTGCTCCAGAGCCTGGAGAGCCATGAGACAGAGGTCACATCAGTGTCACAGACATGGAAGTGCATTTCTGGGAAATGTGTTATCTAATGGGAGTAATATGGTTTTTACCCCGTTTTTCTCTACATTGACTCAAAGCCATGTTCCAGTAGCAGTACGTCTCTGCTAAATCTGACTCTGTCCATACTTAGTGAACTCACAGCATTGTTAGTGCTAGGCTAAGGACATTTCTCTGATATGCTGAACTTAGTTCTAGACTATTTATCATCTATAACAGTATAGAAGTCACACAATACAAAACTTAAATGTTTCCTTCTAAGTGTTTGGAAACAGTTCAAAACCCAAATTAATAACACGTTTTCCTTCAGTATATCTGATTTATGTCTGATTAAGATTTACAATACTAAGTAGGGTTACTGTGTAAAATATTTTAAAGAAAACAAAACAGCCCAAATAAAACAAACTGCCAGGACTGTAAGAAGTTCTTTTAACACAGACTAGCAGCAATGAGTTTATTAACTTTATTAATGCAATCATCTAAAACATGAAAAATATTGTGATACTGAATTTTATCATTCATGCATTAATAGTTAAGCTAAACAGGCATTTACTCTTAGTTCCAATTTTACATAAAATATAGAGTTAACTTGATTTTATCTTGAAATTGGTAGGCTGATCATGAGCAATAACTGTAGATGAGAGATTTTTGATAAATTAAAAGAAAATGACTGATTTGTACTGGGAAAATGATTCCTACACCTAAAATGGAAGGACTGATTCCAGTTTGGTGGATCATAACTAATGCAATCCTTTCACTTACCTCAGTTTCTGCTCTTTGGTTTGTTTTTAGCACTGCCAAGTTATGAGATTTGCAGTTCTGTATGGCCAGTTTGTGTTTCCGCATCATGTCTTGTTTGAGTACTGGAGAATTAGAGAGAGATTAGGTGAAAGAGTCGTTCATACTGAGGTCTGCACACAAACTGATAAAACACAAACTCACCTCTGTGCTCACTGTGTAACTTCTGCCTTTGGTTGTACAGGTTCTTCTCAGTTAAGTGCTGAATGTCCAGCAGGCCCTGAACGATCTCATACACAGTCCCATCTATAAGAGCCTGGGCCAGATCACTCAGCGTAGTGTATGACAAGCGCTGCTGAAATGAACTGTAAAGATACAAAGGGGGAAGGGGGTTTGTATAACATATCATCAGTGGAGTTGTAGTAACTAGCTACATTTGTTAAGTTTCATGAACTCAGATAAAATTATTAAAAGGGACATTCCAGCCTATAACTAGTGTTGATTTATTGAATTATGTAGCATTCTGTGGACAGATCTATAGGCTAATTAATACAAACAAGCTAGCATTAGTGTAACTCTTACTTCAGTCATCAGTTTTTGCTTTGTCAAAGACACAGTTCAATTAAAGAATACCTGTGGAGTGAAGTACACCTGGCTGTGGAAAATATTAAGTGGCAAATTCAAAAGCCAGAGCAACTGGCTAGCATACTGGATAATACTCTCGCCTCATGCGGGACAGAAAAAGTTTCTAGACAAGCTGATAACTTTTACATGCTTGTTCTTCTCATCTGGCAAGTAATTGATATCATTCATGTAAACCATGCTCTTCATTGTCATGATTTGAAGGCAGCTACTATAGTTGTGCAGCTGCAATAAGATATTCTGCTTTCTAGCATTAATGTTAACTATCTGGCTTCCCTCTGCATTCACCAGCCAACAGAAAGAAAACATAACCTGAAGAAGCATAATAAAGGGGCAATTCCACCATTTTTTTCAAAATTTCAGCACAATTAATTAATTAATTGTAAATCAATTAAAATGCCTGTGTTATACATTGTGAACCCTGGTTCCTATCCACTGTAAAGAAATCTGAATCTGTAAGTTGAAGCATTTCACATCAAACCTCTCTTAATGACTTTGCTTACATCTCAACGACTGAATTATGCAAAAAAGTGAAAAATCAATTCCCTTTTAACTTACTGCAACCCTGCAATAATAAACGTCAGCATATCTGTTCACACCGTCCTGAAATCACCTCAGCATCGACACAAGCAACTGCTCAAACACCAACACAAGCGCCGCTAAAGGCACTGTTTATATGGCTAAAGAGCTAACCTAGCTTTGCTATTTACTGTTACCTCGGCAAGTCTTTGACCAGAGTTTGCAGTTCAGACAGAAGATAATAGTGCCTCTCCTGCTGTTTGGTAGCATCGGTGTGCTCGTCATATAAAGAGTACTTCTCCATTTCTGACGAATTGCCTATTCATAACCGAACAACAGCTAGAAAACCGCTAGCGACAGTTTTACCACCATTAAATCTTGTTAACATTGGTTCTTAACACTGATAGCAGTTCAGCTATAAACCGCATTAACTCCAAGAAACGTGGACACTTTCCCGGTCTGTTTCTCGTTGGGTTATGTGCATTTTTGTGGCCAAACGTATCTTTTCAGCCATTTACTACAACACCGGCTACCCAAAGCAGAGGTCCTAGTGCCTTCTTAATAGCTGTCTGAGTATGTGCCTGTGCTGATTGTGGCACTTAGAGCCAAATGATCCAATTATAGTGAAATTGAGATTGTGGAACTTGTTTTCTTACAGTGTGAGGAGGTAGAAAAAAATAACATCCTCTCAAAACGTAAGTTAAAACTAAGTCTAAAAATATTGAGACGTATCCTTTCGAGTGTCTCCTGAGGTTAATCTATGCTTGAAGGACAAAAAATTTGATTTTTTGGTGAATATTTTGATTCTCTTGTGCAAATTTTAAACATGATGTCGATGTAATCAGGTGATGCCCAAATTCAGTGTTTGAAAAAAAAGCACCATATTCTATAAAACTCTGAAAGGTATGAAAAACAAGAAAGTCCAAAGACTGTTAACCTTATTAGTATTTGTTGAAAAGGACCATTATGATCCCTTTGATCCTTAAGATGATTTTCACATACAAAACTTGCTAAATATAATGATAAATAAATTCTGTAAATACAAATTTAGTTCAGATTAGTTTTGCTAAAGACCTTAATCTTTCTGTACAGTTTACAGTGACAATGTTTGCACTTAATCACTAACATGCTGCTTGATGCCAATCCATGTGTGCATGTGTGTATATCATGTGTGTATATACACATATATGATGCCCAATCGCTGTTTCGCTCTCCTGTCTAGTAGGCCCTATTTATTGTTCTGTATATTTATTGTCTGATATTCTTAGAGTATACAAGATATATTGAGGAATGAAAATAAAAACCGTTTGCCTTTATTATTTTTTTACATTGCTATCGCTTGACTCACCAGTAGATGGCGACAGAAATCACATTTACAGAGCAAGTGTAATTCTGACTCTCGTTAGTGACGGGCTACGGAGCTCTCTCTCTCTCTCTCCTCTCTCTCTCTCTCGTCTCAGTGTATTGAAATGTGGCGTGAGGTGATGAGTGGAGTGACCGTGAACATTTGGGTCTAATGCGGATGCGTTCAGTACGGCGCGATCTCTGTGAGTTTTAATTAGTGATGGCTTCATCGCGGCCAGACAACTTGTTTGTATGAGAGGCTCACAGTGTAGGTTGGTGACGGAAAGATCTAGCTTGGGTGTCCATCAAACCGAACAGTTTCATTTCATCAATTCATTTGTCGTAGATGTTGATGAGAGCGAGTGTGGGTGTCCAGCGAGAACAAAAGGCGGCGATGTCCACAGAGTAAGTTACGGCGCCGTTAGCTCCATGTGTCTGTGCACCTCCGACCGTAAACAGCGCGCTGAGGATCTCCACCGATGGAAGAGCCGCGGACTGGGAAATGAGTCTGAAATCCTGCTGCCGTTTTGAAAATGGCCAAAAATACTTCTCTTTATTTTCGGATAGTTGAGGGAAGGAACCTGCCGGCGAAAGATGTGTGAGTCTCGACAGTTGGATTTGCAGTTATTTGTTTTTGATTGATGTTGGTTAAAAATGTCGCCTTTAGGTGAACGTTAGGAAGCTGTGCTTCAGTTATGGCTGTGAACTGGTTGTAAGAATTTGAGGAGTAATTTGATATTTTGGGTAGGAAACAATGTCTAAAAGTGGTATCTTGATTTTTCTTGTCAAGTTCAGGGACGAGTGATCCCTACTGCATTGTCAAAGTTGACAACGAGGTCGTGGCCAGGTGAGTGTCAACTTCCCACCTGTGCGTGTGCGCGTGCGCGTATGAGTGTGTGTACAGTGGCCCCTCAACAGTTCTTGGACGTTGGTGCCGTACATGAAAGTGTATTAGGTTCGTGTTTCAGTGTCAAACCAAGTGGTATTTCTTGTCCAATGCAAGACTTTTTTGAAAAGCCTAACGCCTCTGGTAGAAAAACAGCCTCAGACTCAGAGGTCTGCATCTCTGTGCTTTACAGTGCAGTCCGGTTGGAATTCTTCTCCAGACAATGAGTCTACCGTCAGTTTGATGTTGTGTTAAAGTGTTTTTCTCTGAAACAAACATCAAATAACAAATAGTAATACGTCATTAACGTTTACCAATGATGGTTGAAGTGTCCAAATACTTTTTGGGGCCACTGTATGAGAAATTGTGTCTCTCTCTGTGTGTGTGAATGTTATTTATTCTGCTGAGAGCAAGCTTCTATGTGTTTCTTGGATATTATGGCTGTCCCAGATGTACAAAAGTCTGTGCAAAAGTCTGATGCCACCTTTGATGCATTCATTTTACTTAATGGCAGTTTTAACTACCATTAGGTAAAACAATGAGAAATCTTAAATCTTTTAGAGAAATCTGCAGGGATATTTTTAATCCCTCCAAAATTCAGTCTTAGAAGTTGGTTGCAATTTCTGCTCCTCATCATCCATGTAATACCAGATACATTCAGTGATGTTGAGGTCTGGACTCTGGAGTGGCCAGTCAATTCACAGAACACCAGCAGCTTCTTTGTTTGATTTGCAAATGTTCTTTTATTGTCTGTTTTCTTTTTTTCAGTTACGTCTTTTCAGTAACAGGCTTCTTGTCAGCTACACATCCTTTCAGATCCATAGTGTTGAGATGTTCTCTCACAGTGAAAGGATGGACAGAAACACCTTTTTTTCAAATCTGACGCAAGAGTGGAGCTTGGTTTGCTCTCAAAGATGAAAGCTTTGAGTACTGTTCATCTGATGGTGACAGTTTGAGTGGTTTACTTTATATTGCACGGTTTTAGAAGCCCCATATTATCTTTTAAAAGTTCAGTTTGGAAACTTTTTTTCACTAATTTCTGTTTGACTTTCTCTTTCCTTTTGCAAGCGTATTATTTTACAGCCAATCTCCTCAGAAATACCCCCTGAAAAAATTAATAATTAATAAAAACATTTTGACTGGAAAGGACATAAATGATAGTATTCACAGTGTTGTAGCTGTCACCGAGATCAGTGGTGCCCAAACACAGACACACACTCACACTCACGCACACACACACACACACACACACACACACATTGTTAGGCATAATGCAGAAGTTTTAAGGGCGAGGGTGGGCTATTTCTTGTGTGATCTCTGTGGTGTAACCCCCTCCCTTTCACTCCACAACCACAGAGAACCTGATCTGTTACTGCCCTTTAAGACACCAGCAGGTTGCCATGGAGAGCAGCATAAATTATTGCACAGGATGTCCCTCTCTTCTTAGAAGCATATCGGTGTGTATGTGTGTGTTTGTGTGTGTGTGTATGTGTAAGAGAGAGAGGGAGAGAGAGTTCTCCCACTTCCAGATTACATATTGTAATAGTTCCATGAACCGCACACCTGGTGTGGTGTGTTGTGCATATTGAAACCGCTTTCATGCTTTTGAAATGGAAATGATCTTTCGTCCTTTCAGAGATCATTTGAATTGATTCATTGTTCTCCGTCATCACCAGTTATGACCGCTTTAATTGTTTCCCGCATCCAAATGGCTCCTCATTCTTTCTTCACAGACATGTAACCCATTCCTCATCCATGCTTGCCCTGAGCTTGTTTGATCCCTCCCAACATCTCTTGCCTCTGCATGAATTGTCAAGAACCCATTTAAACCCTGAACACCTGGAGAACTTGAGCTAAACTTTTGCTAAACATTTACAGAATCTGTCATTACTCTCATATCAAAGACTTACAAAAAATAACCAATTTGAATTGCGTAAACATTTCAGAAGTCTTGAGCCAACAGAAATGGTCCAAGTTACATTAACATTAAAATTAACCACTTAAAAAAGGTTTATTATTCAGTGACTACAGGGACTTCAATTCAGTTGGTTGAGCTTAGGTTTTAGAAGTGTGTAATTAAACTTGTCCATGTAAGGGTTAATGTACATCAAAGTTAAAGTGATATTCTGGCCTAAAACTAAAATACTCAGCACACATTACATGCAAATACACCCTAGCCTAGCCACTGATCTATAGGCAAGAAAAGGTACATTTAGTTATATTAGTTATATACAAAGGCAATTCAAAATGCATTAAACTGAATAAAAGCAAAGAAACATCGAATAAAGTACAAACCAGAAGCTAACAGAGAGCAAGCAGAAAGTGCACAGCCAGTAGCAGAGCTGTTGCTTTTGTAGCTATAGGCCAAAAAATACAACTAAGTTAGCATAAGTGTAACTCTTACCTCAGTTGTTGTACAAAATTGGCAAAATTAAATAGACACCAGAGATAAGCTGTATACCCTTTCAGCCAGAGACAAGAAGCCAAGCGGAGGAAAGGAATCTCAATGATCAGGTAGCTACCTTGCTAACATGAGCTTTGTTGTCCTCCTCATCTGACCAGTCATTTCTGTCATTTGATTTATCCATTCTCTTCACTGTAATGATGATTACTAGTTGTATGGCTGAAATAATATATCTGGCTTTTAGCAGTACCGCTAGCTGTCTGCCTTCCTGCAGCTTTTACTGCCCACCCCCAAAAATCCACCCTACAGAAATGTAGCTTTTCAAAGATTCCCCCACCGGAAAGATACATTTTCAGAAGGTTTTCCTAATCTTCCAACTGGAAAATCTCACTCCAGAGATTACTGTATGCATTGCTGTAGGATGCGAGATGTAGTGATAGTTACATTTGTCATTTTGGCCAAAGTGTCCCTTTCAGAGTATATTCTGTAAAGTTACTACTTTAAAAATATAAACCTTCGTTATGAGAGCGATGCTGTAAAAGCTATACAATCTGACCTCACCTGACCTCTCTGATATTCTCTTTGAAGAACGGCCACCGTGTGGAAGAACCTAAATCCGTTTTGGGGAGAAGAGTACACGCTACATTTGCCAATGGGCTTCCATACCCTCACTTTCTACGTCATGGATGAGGACACAATAGGGTAAGACAGATTAATAAATACTTTACTAGCTAACAAATAATGATCAGCATCGGACAGATGTTTAGATTTGACCAATATTTCAAATCAATATTTGGTAATATATGTATAGTACTTTGGAAGAGGAGAATGTTTAGGTAACACTGAGTTACTGCTTGAAAATATCTGCATTTTATTAATTTTACTGTATTTATAACCCTGCAGAAATTCCCATATCAATGCATCCCTAATTATAATATATTTGATAGTATTTATAGTATAATATTATATAATTCAAAATAATATTATGTCATGTAAAATTGTAATATAAGCAATATAATCTTGTTACTTACATGATGTAAAATTGCTTAAGTAGCCATGTAAAAAGCAATATTATACATGACGTATTCTTAGTAAAATACGTAACAATGTTACAAGCTGTATAATATCATTATATTTTGTAAACAGGGATATTTGGGCCCAGGTTTGGGCTCATCTGTTCTAGAGATCTGTAAAATTGTGACAGAAATGCTGTAAGCAATATAATATCATTACATGATGCATAATGTGTGTAGCAGTATAAATAGTAATATTATAAGTGATATAATATTGTTATAGTATTGTACAATTGATCCTTCTGTGAAGTAGCGATATGAGGGGGCCTGGTCACTGCAGGCCCCGGTGCTACAGACCTGAGTGTGATTCCTGTGTATGCTTATTGAATCAGTGCAAACTTGTGCTATCAGTGTTTGCAGATTTGTGCTTGGAGAATTTTGGCACAGAAGATGTACTAAACAGCGTGTAGTAATTAGTCTTTGGTGGCAGGACGAATGACGTGTCCTGTGTGAGGTTGACAGATGAATGGCGGGCGGAGAGTAGGAGGACGTGGTCATGTTTGCATTGGCATTGCCTTCACAACGAGGCCCTTCTGCTCATCAGAGAGGCTCTCACAGCTTGTTAGCATATCTGTTTGCAAACGGCATGTTCCCTCTAACACACTTGCATACACACAGATGGTGTGACTGTTTAAGGAATTCATAACCGCACCTTTTAATCTTAGCCTGCGTCTACCTTCCTCACTGTGTAAGTTTAGCACTCATAGCATAGTTCCTCTTGCTTTGTGGTCTGGGCACTTCCGCACTGAGAGGAAATCTAGACAAAAGAATACTGTCAAGAAACTATCAGTTGTGAGCCTTGATTCATGATTGTTTATTGCTTATATAAATGTGTATGCAAAAGTTTGGCCACCCTCGGTCAAATTACATGTTTTGTTGTAGATGTGTAGTAAAGTGCGAATGTATAAGCAGTAGTACTAATTTTAATGTCACTGTTTTTGTTTTTGTCTTTTTCATTTGCAATAGCCATGATGATGTCATTGGAAAAATCTCTTTAAGTAAAGAAGTTATAGCGAACCAATCCAAAGGTACGTATCACTTTCAGTCTGTGAAGGTTTATGCTTGATTGTTTATTTAGCCCTAATTTTTCATATAAGAGTTGGGGCTAAGTGTGTTCCTCTGACCCACTGGTTGTCAAACTGAGGACCATGGCCCCTTGGGGAGTAGGGGTGCTAAGTGGGCCACAAAAAAGTGTCTACTTAATTAGTTTTTGTTAGCTTATTAAATCTGCTTCAGCCATATCTAAAACCATAGTACTTGTTTAAAATTGGTAGATTTTATTAAACAATATTAAAATGAAATATGTGCCAGTCAATCACAGTTAATGGCCATATCACACTTAATGTCCTTGAACAGGGCTATGCCTCTGTGTGCAGGTCAGCGGTAGCTAGCAAATTGACAGGGTTCTGGTAAGTCATTTCTTGAGTGAAAGGAGTACCTGAGGTGGATGGCGGGAAGGTGTGCAGGGGGCTGAGGGTGGCGCAGTGGCACTTACTGTCTACAAAGGGGGTCTTAGACTTAAAAAAGTTTGAGAACTGCTACTCAAAACCATTTCATGGAATGTTGCATGCACAAGATATATATATATATAGAGAGAGAGAGACAGACCTGCGGTGAATATTCACTGACTTCTGATAGGACAGCATTCCCATGCCCTTATGCATCCCTGCTTCCATTTAAAGCTTTATCTGAGTGATTGAATGGACAAGTGACTTTTAAGGTTACGTTGACCTAAAATGCGGCCTCTCTCATAGGCTGTCCATAAATTTAGTTTAGCGTTTTATCCGTCTGCCTTCATCAGTAGCGTATTTGTAGAAAGACAAACATTCACCTTTAGTGTCTGCCTGTCAGAGTTTGAAGAATGTGGTGCCGTTGAGCTGTCCCTGCTCCACTCACGAATGCATTCTTCCATTGCTACTCTTGCAACTAGCTTTTAAGAATGCTAACAATATTCCATTCAACCTAATAAGAAATTGTAACAGCTGAGGTTGTGACAGAATAGCTAAATTTAGAAAGTGAAAGGTCACACTGTTAGGATAGACTGCATGTAGTTTGTATTTGTCATGTAAGTGAGCTAACATTTGCATGGTGGCAAAATGTATGTTATTGTTTCCAGCAAGTCTAGCGTTGATTAGCCACAACAACATCACAAAGCATGTTCACAAATAATGTAACTGCGATTAGCTCACTAAACGACAGCAGTTAACTTTTTCTGTCAACCCAGGTTTAGATTCTCAAACTATGATTAATCCTTCTAAGCAAACGTGATGTTTAAGATGAGCAGGAGGAGCTGTGAAGTGGCCTATCTAATAACAGTAACTACCACAAGCTGCTAATTTGTGTATTGTGTGAAGTGACTCGAAAAAACAAGAGGAGTCCACTTCCATCAAGCTGTCCCGGATTGGTCAGGAGCTTTGCCATGATTGCTCTAGGAGCTGTTTGTGATCTGAAATCCCAAACCTAACCTTCCCTGGAGTAGATTAGGTGCAGCATAAGTTGCCATGGTGATGTTGCCATGGTGATGTTGACAGAGAACCCAGGGTTGGATCAAACTAAGCCTAAAGTAAGCTGGCTAAGTAAGAAATTATAATGTGAATAATTTGCATGCTTTGACAAAAAACTGAATAGTGCACTATAGTTGCTCATCAGGTTGAATGGGATTTTTGCCAGCATTCTGTAAAGCTTATCCACCCTCACAACAGAGGATTGAATAGGCAAGGTACATAAAGCAACAACGATCTCCTTTACTGTCCTCTTTTTGTATTGAATATGCTTTTGTAGGGATTTGTACTTTAACCTTTACATATTTTGCCTGAATCACTTCACACTCCATTCAGTTTTCATTAACACATTCAGTCTTCATTTCATCTTCCCTTTGGCCATAGTGATAAGGTGAGCTATAAGAAATCAGGCAAGGCTACTAAACTCTAGTGTGAAAGATGCCAGTCTTCCAGACCACCAGCATAAATTGCCCTAATTGCAGGATCTGCGCACATTTAATGGAGTGGCAAAAGAGCCAAACACCATCCCTAATGATGTTAAAATGTTATTCATTAATTTAGTAAGCAACATAACAAGCAAAGTCTCCTGAAGCCATGAGTATGTAACTCAGCCTGAGTACTGGCAGCTTGCACATAATCATTAATTGGGCTTGAGGAGAGCCAGGCCGATCTGTTGTGAGCACTGCATGAGCTGTTTCCACTGCCATGGCTCTGCCTGGCCAGGAGATATTGTCGCCTGGAAAATGAAGCTAAGCCATATACGACCCCACGCCGAACACTTCATTAGTGGACTCTGCCTAGTGTGCTCCAGACTCACACAAATGGAAGAGCAATACCAAGAGTGAGGAAGATGAGGATCAAGGCATAGCAGATTTCATTTGGCCTTTATTTTGTTCTTAACAGTCTGGAGTTTTTTGCATTTTGCTGTACATTGCATAATGATTTAAAGACCTAAGGAATGCAATATTATATTGGACATTAAACTAAACTTTGAATGAAAAAGATAGAAATATAATAAAATATTTCTTAAAACCACTGATCAGACCTGAGAACAGTCTGGGCATGTCCCTCCTATTCTAATGGGCACACTTGATTGACATCTCAATGTCTAGCACTCCCTGCTTACTACGCCACTGAGGCAATACCACAAACAGCACAAGCAGGGAGAAATGAGTGAAACGGGTTCTAAATATACAGATGGTGTTGTAGACATCACTTTGTCCTTTATGTGGCCATGTCTTAAAGAAAGGAAGGTTCTTATTCACTTCACTGCTTGCAAGTCAAACAGATGACAAGCAGGAAGACAGATAGATGAGGTAGCTTGCTTTGTTATGCATGCTAGATTAGCTTTTGCTTGGTTATCTTTCTGTAAGTCTTTCTGACACAAATAGCAGGAGACCATGGGAGAAAGTTTTATTAAAGCTGTATGGGCAAGAGAAGCTACAACAGCAGCTTGTGATTGGTGAGGGTCATGGTTATGCAAGCTTTATCCAAGATTAGGACGACCCAGTTTACATCAAAAGAGGAGAATTATGGTCATATGAAATGTCTAGTTACTGGACCTTGGAAAGTTATTTTTAGGACTTACTTTGTACATGTACATTGTTTGCTTATAAGAATAAGATTAACTTAAATAAATTAATTTAGTTAATTGCACTTAATTTTGGTTCCCTTGGACTTGAACTGAAACGTAAAAAAATTATATTAGGAATATCGTCTCCCCTGCATTTTTTCCCTTTGTTACGATGTTTGGGACAAAAATGTAAAGAGCATTTTTCCTACCATTTAAGACAATATGCTCTTCTAACCTACTTACAAACACAAATGTGGTGTTGATTAAAAGTTTGGAATTCATGCCTAAAACAGAAGTGTTATTTATTTAAAAGGGCTACAAAAGAGAGATTATTCAACAAACTGTAAGAAGACATGTATAGTGCTTATACAGACCTAGGAGAATTTATAAGAGAACGTCCTGTTTGTTCAGACTTTGTTGTGTGTCTAAATATGAGCTCTACAGGCTTTATTGGCAATAAAAAGCACCACAGGGCTACTACAGCCTCCATGGTGTTAATGCAGGCCTCAGTGAATTAATGACCAGCTTTGTGCTCAAACATGATCAAATCAGCATCTCCGTAAACTTGCTTGCGTGTGATCTTCTGCTGTCCAGATCTAACCATGGCAACAGGAGGAGTCTGTTGGATATAAATAGAGGCATATTTAAAGAAGAACATATCTGCAAGTGCTTAAACATTGAAAGGCAAGGACAGAAAAACAGTTCACCAAAAATAGATAATAATCCCCACTGTCCTCAACTGTGCATTCAGAAATTATTTCGTCACTCTTATATGAAAACTACTAACTCCTTTTTTCTTTTTTACGTGTTTGTATAAAATGTTAAGTTCCCCTAAACGTCAGTTTTGACTTTGAGACTGTTCATTCATTCTCCTATAAAATTATGTTTCCAGAGAGACAACGTTTTGGTGCTCTCTCAACAAGATAAGCTCCATACTGGTCTTTGGAGAGATGCCATAGAATAATCACATCTTAAAAAAGATGGTTCTGCAAGGGTTCTTTAGTAAAGAAAATGGAACAGTGAACACTCCAAGAACAGTTTGCATGATGAAAGGTTCTTTGCATCGTGAAAAGTTTCTTCAGATTGATGGAAAATGTGCATGAATGTGCTATAGACAGTCCTATGTAGAACCTTTTTGAAAAGGGTTCTATATAGCACCCAAAAGGGTTTTTCTATTGTTACAAGCTTGACATCATTTTCCAAAAAGGTTCTATATAGAACCACCTACAGCACATTTTCCATCAATCCAAAGAACCCTTTTCTTTACTAAAGAACCCTTGAAGAACTATCTTTTTTAAGCGTGAATTCTTGTTTCCCTAAAAAAACGTTGGTAAGTGAGACATATGAGTGAGAGTGCGATAAGAACCTGTAAGTAATGTAACGGTATACACTTTTTTAATATATATACGGTGTACACTCTATAAATAAATATACGATGTACACTCTATAAATAAATAAATATATATATGAAATATATATATGAAATATATGAAATTCTGTCTAGTTAGAATGCTTCTGCAGTACTTTTGTCTTATCTGGAGTTAAGATAACAAACTTTTCTATTCTATTATAGCTTTTGCCCTAAATTCAGTCCTTACTGCAGTTGTCATGGTGACTAAACAGATAAGAAAAGCTTTCAGAGTTACAAATGTCTTGGTAATGTGGCCCCAGGTTCTCAAAGAGGTGCTTAAAGTCAAGAACAGAGTGACAATTTAATTCATACAAAAAAAAAATCACACTACAAGCAGGGAGTCATGGTGCCTCTTTTTTATTGGCTGCATCTGAAACAGACTCCTTCTCCATTCTCACTATGCAAAAATAGCCTCCTCCATATGAGGGGGATCATGAGTCATTTTGGGTGCAAATTGTGTAGCAGTGACATCACAGCAGCCTTCAGAGGCCCTCACATCTTCCTAGCATGCACTGGACTCACATGAATCACTACAGCAGCCTGCCAGAGCTTAGTCACCCTCCCCCACAAGATCATGAGAAGCTCATGGTTTGCTCTCTCTCGCACTCACCCTGTTTGGTTTGGCCAGAAAGTACCTACACCTCCATGAAGCTGCCCACTATGTGGTCAGAAATGGAATAAAAATGCTACTATTCGTTTGTGCTGCATTTGTGCTGGTTTGTGCCATAGAAATCATCATTTGTACTGGCACCATTTTGAACTGGAGAATTAAAACAGCACAAATGTTTCTATTAACGGCACAAACAGCACAAATGAATGAGACTGTTTTGTTGTGATTTGCACGTTGATGGGCTGATGAATTTCTCCCAAGTTTCCGCTTTATAGCAGGCTGAAGCAGGTTGTCTTACAGTATCTCCCTCTATTTTGCACCATCCGTCTGAGTTTTGAGGGATGGCCTTGTCTAGGCAGTGCCTGGGTGTGATGATGCCATTTCCATTTCCTCACAGTCGATCCAACAGTTCTCACTGGGATATCCAAACACTTCAGTATTACTTTGTAGCTTCCCACTATCTTGTGCATGTCTATAACTTTATCTCAAGAATGTACTTTAGTCTTCATTTTCAGAGCTTTCCTTCACACTCACAGGCTTGTAAACGGTACTTGAATTAAGTGGGTTTTTCATCCAGAAAAGGTAAATTTATGTAATGATTCACAGGTAGAGGCCAATTATAAGCCAGTCATGTCCTCATTACAGCGATATCTTTCATCTGTGTAAACTTGGAGCTTCCACAGCACAGGGCTTGAATACTTATGCAAACAGCATTTTTCAGTTAGTCATTTTTGTCACAGAATGTTTTCTTATGTAAAACCAATATCACTTTAAGATGATTAGATTAAATTAAAATAAAATATGACACAACACAGAATATCAAAGCATCAATATATAATACATAGAGGTAGGTGGAGTTTAATGACTTGTTTCTGCAGGTTTAGATAACTGGTTGAATCTGACTCGTGTGGATCCGGATGAGGAGGTTCAGGGAGAGATCCACGTAGCACTGGAGTTACACAGGGATGCCCAGACCACCTGCCTGCGCTGCCACGTTATAGAGGCCCGGTGAGAGACCTACACACAGACACAGATCTGACTAAGATAAAGTGTGTGAGAATTTTTATGTATTTTTTTTTTTTTAATTATTGAGGACTTCTCATTTTTTTCATATGTTTCATATATTGGCCATCACTGCATTCAGTTAAAGAGCACCATTTGCTCTATAATCTAAACGGGATTAGAGCTCATAACCTCCTAGTTTCTTATCCACAGAGAGTCTGGTAGGTTTTGTCATTTCCAAGACATGCATTCTTTGACAAGAAATGACTGATATCCAAAATGACAGCCACAGAGAGCTGTTTTTGCATGTCATGTAGGCATGACCATTGATAAGACTGGACTGCAACAAAAATAGACAAGCTTGAAACAAGGCGGTATGCATCACCAAACAAACATGCAAGATATCTTATCTACTTGCTTTCAAACAAAACTTTTGAGAGACAGAATGCTATATACTTCACACTTTTTTCATTGCAGTGACTTTAGCTTGGTTTTGTCATTGTGTGCAGACCAGGCAACAGCTTGCTACTGGTGACTAACTTACATTTAGCTGAAAAATAAAATTTGTTTCCCGTCCAACTGATAAAAAGCAGGTGTACAGTGCAGGTAACCAATCAAGAGGTTAACTGACAAAATTCCAGTTGTATGTAATCCATTTGGATGTAAATACCATAAAATTAAAGCTTTGTCAGTATCCAAATATTTATGGACCTGACTGTCAGATGATTGGTGTACCTATGTGAGCAGAGTGTCTGAGGCTGACACAGCAACAGGGACTGCTTAAGTACTGGTGATTTCCATGATGTGATCATGATGTAATTTATAATAATGATAATATCATATTATCATATCACCCACCCCAGAGCGAGGATGCATCTAAGCACAAGAAAAGGGGCATGGACAGTATTCTGTGTGTGGATGTATGTGTGTGTGTGTGTGTGTGCTCAGTGGTGCATGGTAAACCTGCAGCGTCTCTTCTGGTCGTATTATATAGTAATGGAAAAGCTGTCTGGATGCTTCCTGCATGAATGCTCTCTCAGCAGAGCATTGCTGAACGGAGCGCTTCTACAGGTTCATGATCAGCAGTATTACGTTGCATGGAGCCATAAGGAAATTTAATCTGTGGTGAGATGCCAGCGAGGGTCAGCCAAGCTGACAACAAGACCCAGCAATTTTCAGCCAAGGATTTTAAATAAAATGCTAGAGTGCAGGAGTATAGAACTTATTGCGGTAGCTCAAGAGGTTTAGGAAGGAGTTGTTTGGGGTTTATTTTAGCTTGTAGTTGTTTAACAGTGCTACTTTTCTGTTTTAAATGAACGTTAATCAACTTCTCATGTTAAATGAAACATCCGGTAGGTGTTGTTAAAGTGTCAAAGAGGTGTAAAGAAAACCTATTCAAGCTACATCGATTTACAGCCTTACCTCGAATTGGAAAAGAAATGAGCTAAAAACAATATGACTGGGCAAATCCAACAGTAGTTTTCTGAATGCAGGACTGCACATAGACCAATTAACATGACAACTTAAACAAGCATATAGCAACACAGTTTATACATTTCTGCTGCAGAAAGGACTGTGGTTTCATATCAAAGTCTGCTTACAAACTAATATGTTTAGGGACATGACCAGGGAGTTAGTTAAAACTACAACATACTAAGTAAAAAAAAATAGGTAACCACTTTAAAATAAGACCACATCTATAAATGGTCTATGAATGGTTTAAAATCAGTTTAGGTCATAAACCCTTTTAAAATTAATTAAGAAACCGTTATAAAAAGTGCAACAGTGAACTGTTACATTAGATGTATGTGAATATCTGGTGAAGCTCACAGGTTTAATACTGACTGATGAAGAAGACAAAGTAAGATAAGTAACTAGCAAGATCTGAGGTTTAACAGTGTAGATGAAGGTGGGTTCAATATTTGGCAAGCAACAGGTCACTTGCACATTTTATTTATTTGTTTTAACTACTTATTAATGATTCTAAGGTGTTTGTGACCTAATTAATAACCATATACCCTTTATACAGGTAGTTAAATTTTAAAGTGGTACCAAATATAGTTACCTAAATGTGTTGAGAGCTTAAAATGTCTGTGGTTAATCTGAGCTGCCGCCTCCAAATATTAATGCACACAATTCTAGCTTAATGGTAACATAGCACTGAAAAAAATCACGGAGTGCTAGTAGAAATAAGCATCATCATAGTGGTAGTAATTGGATAAACATAGCTACTTATAAAGCAAACTTGAAAAAAGTAATGATCCTGAATTGAATCATATCGGAGCTGAACAACCTGTATCATTAACTATGTTCCAAGATAAGCATCATATCATTTGAAAGAGGGATGAGCCAAAACATTATGACCACTCACAGATGAAGGTTTGTGGAGTCCTCAGCAGTGGTGAGTACCTACCAACAGTTGTCCAAGGAGGAACAAGCCATGAACCGACCACAGGCTGGTCTGAACCGACAGAAGGGCTATAAGTCACCGAAACTTTTTATTACAGTTACCAGAGAAATGTGTCACAGCACACAGTGCATCGTACCCTGTTGCAAAATGGGCTATGTAGCCACAGAGAAGTGATGGCACCAGGATGTACTGTAAGAAGAAGACAAGCCAGTGGAGAGAGTGGGACACTCTGGGTGATTTTCTGCTGAGAAACCCTCAGTCCGGGAATTCATGTGGATATCAATTTGACACGTGCCACCTACTTAAACATTGTTGCAGACCATGTACACAACTTCATGGCAGTGATATTTCCTAATGGCATTGGCCTCTTTCAGCAGGTTAACCCCTTAAACCCCAAGCTTATTACGTACTATGGTGTATTATTCAATAACTCCAGGGACTTCAGTGCAAACTGGCTGAGCTATTTTTAGGTTATAGAACTGTGTAATAAAACTTGGGCCTGCCAGTGGGTGCTTGCCATTTAAGGGCTTAATCAGCCCATATTTTTTGGGAATGGTTCGAGGAACATGATGAAGAGTTCAAGGTATTGCTCTGGCCTCCAAATTCCCCAGATCTCAATCCGATTGAGCATCTGTGGGATGTGCTGGAACAGGTCCCATCCACAGACAGGACTTAAAGGATCTGCTGCTAACATCTTGTTGCTTGTTGTTTGCAATTTTAATTTTTTTCTTTCTTTTTTTTTTTTAGAGACTTGGCCCCTCGTGATATTACTGGTACGTCAGATCCCTTCACCAGAATCCTCTACAACAACCTCAGTGCTGAGACATCAGTGAGTAAGGGTATCTTCATTCCAACTGGTCTGTAATATTCAATAATACATGGAATGGGGAAATGGGGATGGTGGGAGATCATATAAGTAATTATATGATCTCCCACCATCCCAAATAAATTGTCTTTTTTGTTCATTAAATGCAAAGCTAAGAATTGTCTTTTTTGTTCATTATATGCAAAGCTATAAATAGCTCAGCCAGTTTGCATTAAAGTCCCTGTATTTACTGAATAATACGCCTAAGTGTGTAATAACCTAGGATTTTAAGAGGTTAATGATTTTTAAAATGTTTGTGACCTCATTAACAACCATTAAAATACTAATTTTGAAGCTTTCATAAAGCCTTCATAAGGATAGTTTTATCTTAAAGTGGTGCCTTTTATTTACATGCACGTGCCTCACCCCAACTGACGAAAACACATGCAATTAATATTCTGTTTGTAGCAGAGTTAACATATGATTGCAGCAATCTTAAATTATTGTGATCAGCTCAAATCACTGTAATCTGACAATCACACTATATTGCCAAAAGTATTCACTCGTCTGCCTTCAGATGCATATGAACTTGAGTGACATCCCATTCTTAATCCATAGGGTTTAATATGATGTCGGACCACCCTTTGCAGCTATAACAACTTCAACTCTTGGGAAGGGGAAGGCTTTCCACAAGGTTTAGGATTGTGTTTGTGGGAATTTTTGACCATTCTTCCAGAAGCACATTTGTGAGGTCAGACACTGATGTTGGACGAGAAGGCCTGGCTCGCAGTCTCCGCTCTAATTCATCCCAAAGGTGTTCTGTTGGGTTGAGATCAAGACTCTGTGCAGGCCAGTCAAGTTCTTCCACACCAGACTCGCTCATCCATGTCTTTATGCATCTTGCTTTGTGCACTGGTGTGCAGTCATGTTGGAACAGGAAAGGGCCATCCCCAAACTGTTCCCACAAAGTTGGGAGCATGAAATTGTCCAAAATCTCTTGGTATGCTGAAGCATTAAGAGGTCCTTTCACTGGAACTAAGAGGCCGAGCCCAACTCCTGAAAAACAACTCCACACCATAATACCCATTCCACCAAACTTTACACTTGGCACAATGCAGTCAGGCAAGTACCGTTCTCCTGGCAACCATCAAACCCAGACTCGTCCATCGGATGGCCAGACAGACAAGCGTGATTAGTCACTCCAGAGAACACATCTCCACTGCTCTAGAGTCCAGTGGCGGCGTGCTTTACACCACTGCATTCGACACTTTGCATTGCGCTTGGTGATGTAAGGCTTGGATGCAGCTGCTCGGCCATGGAAACCCATTCCATGAAGCTCTCTATGCACTGTTCTTGAGCTAATCTGAAGGCCACATGAAGTCTGGAGGTCTGTGGCGATTGACGTCTGTGCACTATGCGCCTCAGCATCCGCTGACCCCGCTCTGTCATTTTACGTGGCCGACCACTTCGTGGCTGAGTTGCTGTCGTTCCCAATCGCTTCCACTTTGCTATAATACCACTGACAGTTGACTGTGGAATATTTAGTAGTGAGGAAGTTTCACGACTGGACTTGTTGCACAGGTGGCATCCTATCACGGTACCACGCTGGAATTCACTGAGCTCCTGAAAGCGACTCATTCTTTCACAAATGTTTGTAGAAGCAGTCTGCATGCATAGGTGCTTGGTTTTATACACCTGTGGCCGTGGAAGTGATTGGAACACCTGAATTCAATGATTTGGATGGGTGAGTGAATACCTTTGGCAATATAGTGTATGTTATAATTGTGACAGGCCTAATCAAACCCTTCATGAACTTCATCAGGTTTGTCAGACCTGGAAAAACAGAAGTGAACAGCGAATGACTTCTCACAGATCTTCAATTAACAAGCACTCGAATATAGTACATGCTACAGCATGAAAATGTATGTTACTTGTGCTGGTGTGTGGATGTATTAGATCATAAAGAAGACACGCTTCCCGCACTGGGACGAAACCCTGGAGCTGTGTCTGGATGAAGCAGGCGAGGCTGAGTCAGGTTCTGTCACTCTGGAGGTGTGGGACTGGGACATGGTGGGCAAGAATGACTTCCTAGGCAAGGTAAGATCTCCTCAGGGTCTTATACATGGCAAACAACCCACATCAGAGAGATGTTTAATACCTGACAGGAATATGACCTGAAGTGTCATATTCCTTTAAACTCACACAGTGTGAGGTGTGTGATTCTAAAGATGTTTTTTTCCATCAGATAAAACCAGTCTTGTTATATCAGCTTTGGGCTCTGCAGTATCAGTAGTGCTGTGGGGGTTGTTTCGCTGCTCTGCATGATCTGTATGATCAGGAATTCTCCGCTGCAGGGCTTGTGTTTGTCTCACTGTATACTGTCTATCGACTGACAGAACAAAACCTTTTAAACCATTTCTGTTGATCTATCCATTGTCAAATATTCTGCGAAGGGTAGCCAAAGTTGTCAGATTATGCAAAAAAAAAAAAGAAAAAAAGATCCAAAATGGAGATGTTTTTAGATGACAACATATTTATAACCAGGGTTGACATAAGGGGAGGGAAGATCAGGACAATGTAAAGGGCCTAGAAGTAGCAGGGGCCCACAAAGAAACAGGGGCCCTCCTTTTATTTTTTAGGCTTACTGACAGATACTTCATTGAAACACTTCATACATTACATAAAAATAATACAGATGGCTAATTTTAGGGACACATTGACACATTGTGCACATTGACTGTTTGACCTTGGTATGGTAAGCAATAGGTTTCTTAACACAAGTCAGAATATCTGGAAAGCAGTTCAGTTTCTGGCATGACTTGTTTTTGCATAGTTGTTGAATTCAGTGAATTGAATCATTCTACAGCGATAACTTGTTTTCTTGCATTTTATTCTCCAACTGTGCCAGAATGCTTCATTTTCATCTTGAAATAAAATGTACTCCTGGGGGACAATGCCTCCACAGGGTTTGGTTTCTGAATTTGTCACCCTTTTCACTGCTCACGGTTTGCATGTCTGGGCAATAGACTTCTCGCTCTAATTGCTGAGCTATACTGTTTACTGTCTTGGCTGTCTTTTGATTACTTCAGGTTTGGCAAGTACAGTTTCTGCTACGTTTGAGGTTAGGGCTAAGAACGGTTGTTTCTCTGCTGCATTAGCTACATCAGAACCTGGAAAACTTAGCTGCCATGCTTCAGGTTCAGTGTTGCCCCACTGCGTTTTCAAACAGTACGTTTACTTTTGTCACTGGCCTCATCAGGGTGATTCATTCATTAATTCATTCATTTTCTCCTGGACCAAGACAAAGAGAAAACAACACATCCATCTCTACAGCCTGGTGGTAGTGTGTGTTGGATTCCAGGGCTTTTCATTACAGTGGTTAACTTTTTATTGTTGAAGTCAGACAATTGAATTGTTCACTGATTCTCTGATTTGCTTATAAATCAACTAGGCTTTTTGATGTCAGCTGACCAAAGATCATTCCTCCAGTTTACTGAAGATTGTAACTACTTGGGCAACCTTGAAGGACATCCCCATTTCTAAGACAAATTGAACTGTCTGGTCATTTGCCTGCAATTTGGTTCTGCAGGATGAGTGTGCACAGTGCATGCTTCCTGAACAGTTTCTCCTTTTCCTCCATTAGCAGAATGTCAGAACAATGAATAACCGATTTTGAATAACCAATTTATGTTTAAAATAACTGTTTAACGTTTAGAATGTTACTGAAACAAAAAGAAAGCAGGAAATTAAAGGCAGGTTCACAAAAGTTGAATAAGGTGTTTTAAGGCAGGGAAATCACAAATCATGTACAAAGAAGTCAATATATGAGTTACAAATTGTTTATTGATGCTGTAAAGCAAATATAACTTGGAAAAAAATCTGTTAGTCTTGTTTTTTTTAATTGACCCAGTGGACAGTTATACCCAGCAGTAACAAAAGCATGGTATAATTCTGTATTCGTTTTTCATTCAATTTTTACTCATAGCTCTTTGCAAGTGAAGACAAAAGAGTGAAGAATTTCTGTTGATAGTGTAGATTCTAAACATTTAAATCAGTTGTGCTTATTAGCAGGAGATACTTTATTCTGATTTGAATTTGATGAAAAGTTGTGGTTGTGTCTACAGTATTGTTTTGCAGAAAGAAAAAATATGCTTTTCATTTTTGCCATGTCTTTATCTTTCTTGATTTCAAAACTAAAAAAAGTCAAATGTGACTTAAACTTGTCGACCCAGAATGTAAATTGAATGTAAGTGTAATTCATTGCATAATTATATATGTAACTCATTAAATAACATAATAAAGGTAAAAGGCTGAAAAAATGAAAAGAGATCTGTCTGTCTGAAACAATGTAGCATTGCTCAGTAGTGTAGGGTTACCATTTCTAAGACCATTTTTCCACTGCACATCCAAAAACATGACCCAAAAAGGAACCAACAGAACTTATAGTTTTAGTTCTAGATCATTTACCACCTGCTTGAGAGACAGCTAGATCCCTCATAATGTGTTTTGAGTCATTTTGTGCTACTTTAATAAAACAAGACTAAAGCATCTAGTTTGGCTAATTAGCTATCTTGCTTACTAGTCACCTTAGCGGATCACTAGCTGTGCAGTGCACTTCTCTGCTATTAAATGTCTACAACTACACAGAATCATATGTACAATCAACAAAAAAGCTTGTATTTTTCTCTGACAGGTGTGTAAATATGAGCAGAAGCACTCCTTCTGCGAAGGCTAGCATGAATGCTAATACTGTCAGCATTAGCTTCCTAATCAGTTTATGTCATCTTAGTGAACTTTAACAGAGTAATAATTCTGCACCTGGAAGAGTAAAGAATTTGCTAAGTGTTACCAAAGACAGAGAACAACATTCCTAAGTGCCTTAACCCTTTAATGTCCTCACCTAGAAAAAAAGCGATGGAATTTTAATTTTTATATTTTCTATTTCTTTGGGCAATAATAAAAACAATCAATCCTACACCAGTTATGGTTTTTGGTACCTGCTCAAGTTTGGTATCATAAGAACCTTAAGATCTTATGATACCAAACTTGAGCAGCTTATGATACCAAACTTGAGCAGGTACCAAAAACCATAACTGGGACCATCAATCCTAAACCAGTGGCCAATAGACAAAGCACTTTCCCAGTTTCTTGGTGCCAAAGGTTCTGGTACTTTGTGCAATGGAGAAACACCGTAAGTCTAGCTTTATTTTCACCTCATCTAATCAACTTTGCCCTTAACAATGTACTTTGAGTTTCTGTATTGATCATTATTGACAACTCTTGTGGAAAGTCTTGCGCGATTAGCAACATGTGTCTTTTGTGTGTTTGTGCAGGTGGAGATCCCCATGTCTTGCTTGCATAGAACTCCTCTGCTTCAGGGCTGGTTTCGTCTGCTGCCACTGGGAAACTCAGAGGACGATGCCGGGTTAGAGATAGACAGGGGCTAAGGAGTGTGTGTGCATGTTGTGTGTAAATGTGACACCAGGCCAGAAGCATCATTAGCAGATGAGTCACTGTGTGAGTGTGTGGGCGCGTGAGTGATGATGATGATGATGATGCCTCTGGGAATCTCTCATTAGTTTCTCCAGCATGCCACCATTTCAGCACAGTTTTCTAAAACTCATTACATACTCTGCTTGTTCATTCATTTATTCCTTCTTTTTTTCTTCATTCTTTCTTTCTTTCTTTCTTTCTTTCTTGCTTTCCATTGTTCTCCTGCTCTGGTTTTCAGGGGAAAGCTGGGGGCATTGCGGCTAAAGGTGCGTTTAGCCGAGGAGAGGATTCTTCCCTCTCTGTACTATCAGCCTCTCATAGATTTGCTGGTGGAAGCTGTCATCTCACCTACAGAGGTAAAGACAAACAAAAAAGGTGCAGATAATCTAAGGTAGCTCAATTTGAACTATTATGTAATGGATAGTTCCAGTTCTAAGATCTGATTGGCTGAGCCGTGTCTGAAGCTACTGTAAAAGACTCAACACACACACACACACACACACACACACACAATTGTGTTTGAATTTGAATGAAAGTATTTAATTGTTTTAATGCAACATATTAGAAGCTTTAAAAGCATTACTGTTGTTCACAAAATAACCTTTGACTGTTTTGTTGCCTACTGTCAACAAACTCTGTTACTTTGCTGAAGAATGATTTATTTAGGTTGTTATTAATGATAAACTCCATTACAAGTTGAGCATGGGAGTAATTTTATCACACTGTAACATTACTTAACCTCTTTTTGTTCATTTTTTTGTTTTTGGCAAAAAACATCCTAAAATGCCAGTTTATGGTGCATTGTTGTATATCCGTGGGACACAGTGGTGGGCTGCTAAGAAACTGAAAGTTTGACTGAGGTATTGAGGGATGGCATATATAACACAAGATGCAGGGCAATTCACGGCACCCCGGGGGCTGTATGCAAGTGCATACCCTGTATACTCAGATGCTGCACCACTGGTATTTCAGTTATATTGCTACATAAGCTGCTGCGGTTGCAACATACCTTTAGTATATTAAAATGCACTGATGACAATCGGACATGGTTAAAAATTGGCCTGTTAAAAATGAACTGTCTTTTTTTTTGTTGGATTACATTGATTCATCAAAGCGCCACAGAAACACTCACATGGACATGTCAAGATGCCTACGGCACATAGTACAAAAAACATTTTGGTTGGAGGACTCATTTGCATATTGCACGCTTCTGCAATGTCAGTATTTCAAAGGCCAGGATCACAGTAAAGATTAACAGACAATATGTTGTTCAGCGCTGCTTCACACTGCAATGATGTAAGCTGATTGCTTCTTCTTCTGAAGAAGAAAGCTGATTGGTTCTTCTCTTTTTCTGTCAGGTAGATGACCCAACCCCACTAACACTGCTGGAAGAGGTGACCACAGTAGAGAGCCGGCAGGATATTGCCATGACACTGGTGAAGATCTATCTTGGCCAGGGCCTAGTTGTGCCATTCCTGGATTACCTCAACACCAGAGAAGTGCACCATACATGTATGTCTGGGTATGTGTGTGTGTGTGTGTGTGTGTGTGGATGTGCATTGCATGTACCGTATTGTGCCAAAGACACCCTTTTGAGTTTTTTTTCCTATTTCTGTTCAAAAGTACAAGTTATTCATTTTTTAGGATATATTAGATGTAAGATAATTGACTTGTATAAGGAAGTGGAGAGTAAAAAGTAGAAAGAAAATAGGCAAAAATCAAGATATTCCAAAAGTGCAGTTCAAATACTTATTAAAAGATACAGAGAAAATGGGGCTCCTAACAACCATGCAAGATCTGGTAGACCACCAAAACTGTCATCATCAGATTAACAGTACTAAAATTCTTGGATGTTTCTGTCCATCCTTCCACTGTGAGAAGACAGGGTCTGAAGCTGCCAAGAAGTTGTTACTGAGAAAAGAAATAGACCATAAAAGATCATGTGCAAGACAAACGAAGAAGCAGCTGGGGTTCTCATTTTTGTGCAAGTGGGTGAATGCACAGTTCAACTTCCAAATGAATTAAATATCAGTTATTACATCAAAGCTATTTTGTTTTTCAGTTTTCTTAAATTTGGCAGTAATTGTTTTCTACTATCATGTTTTATTCTTGTTGAAATGACTGAAACAACTAAATTCAGCACCTTTTTCAGTGTATGCAAAAACTACCATCCATACATTTTCTGTAGATTTGTTAGTGTGTCTGTAAGCGGTACTTATTTGATTACTAGTTTCCTTCGGCAGAAGCTGTTCAGAGCGTAGGCGACGTATCACCAAAGTCCTGCTATATTTATCCTCCACCAGTCGCCCAATTACTCTCCTCTCATACAGTCATCTCACAAGTCCTGCTCATTAATTAACTTTCTTCCATTTTCTCTGCCCACGACTATGACTGCATGTGTGTGTGTGTGCGAGTGTGTGAGTGTGTAAAACTCTTCGCCTGAACTTGGTGTTTTATGTTGTGTTTGCATCGGGCTGCTGACAAACAAAGTGCCTAAGTTTCCATAGCAACTCCGCAGGAAGCGACTTTAAAGGGGAGTGGGTTGATCATAAGATCAGAACAGCCTCTAGGGAGCAAGAGATGAGCAGAGAGAGAAAGCAGGAGACACACAGTCAGGAAAAGATGGCTCACACAAGTTAATTAGGACTTAACTTACTAATAAGCTGCTGTTCTGATTTAGTGCTGAGACCCAAAGAATTTGCATGCAGTGAAGTGTAGGGGTGCGAATAAAAACGTAAACTTTGTTTTTGAGACCTCCTGTGAACAGTTCAGCCAAAAGCAGCAAGGGCACAAGCGTTACAGCTTACCTCGTATGTAGGACTGATCAAAACACCATGAGAGGCTAACTGTCACTAATTCAAGACAGTTTTGTGTTGTTTGAGTCAGTTGAGCTGTACAACCTAAATACTCACACACTCATCATTAAAGCTGCTTATCCTCCTGGGTCACGGGGGGGGGGTGTTGAAGCTTATCCTAGTGCGCATTGAGCAGGAAAGCAGGAAACACCCTGGACAGACACACTCACACCTAGGGGCAATTTTTAATATCTCCAATTGGCCTGACTGCTTGCCTTTGGACTGTGGGACGAAACCGGAGCACCTGGAGGAAACCTACGCAGACACGGGGAAAACATGCAAACTCCACACAGAAAGGACCCTGGTCACCCAGCTGGGGAATCGAACCCGGGGCCTTCTTGCTCAGCAAATTACTTATTTTGTCAATTTTCGAAGTGCAATATTTATATTTCATTATCTTAAAATATATAAAAAATTAAGTAGCAATTGTGCTATGTTAGGACTTACCCTTATCTCCAAATAATCAAAACAATATCATCCGGAAACATTCATAACCATTTCCTGTAATACATTTCTGTAAGGTAGCTTTTAGAGTGGGAAACACTTTAGACGTCTGGTTCCTATCACTACCACTGTGAATGACGAAGTTCTCTGGTACATACGTAGCATATCATAGCAAACATTACATAGCAAACCACTCCGAATCAGCTACATCAGCTTTGTAAGTCTTGTGCAAAACAAAATAAGCAACCTTTGGACATCATGTCTTGATTAAATGACTGCATTTGTTATAAGGGGAAAAATTGTGTAAATTCTCTCTGTGCTTTCTCCCTGATAGCGGATCCAAATACGCTATTTCGCTCAAATTCTCTGGCCTCCAAAGCCATGGAGCAGTTTATGAAGGTGCGTATCACTTTCAGTATGTGGTGTTGGATGGCATCTCAGATTTTGATAAATGCTTTAATGAAACCCATATGATTATTGTATGTAAATACATGCATGTGTGCAAATCTATGTTGGATTTTTCGGTTGCTAGGCTGTTGGGATGATATATCTGCATGAGGTCCTCAAGCCCATAATCAACCGCATCTTTGAGGAGAAGAAATACATTGAGCTTGATCCCTGCAAGATAGACCTCAATCGCTGCAGGTAAACAACTCACAAATAAAACCCACATAACCACACATACACATACATACAAGCAAACACGCACCGTAGTTGTATAACTGTCTAGCTGGTGGCAGCATCCAGGCTGGAATAGGCACTGCACACAAGTAAAATAAAAATATAAACCAGAAAGATATGTAGGGAGGAGCTGTTGCCTAGCAACAAAAGGATCATCCTAAGTCTCTGTACTTTGACAAGTCCAAACCTCTAGAGTCCCCTGACACAGCGGTACAGGCTATAGTGTAGATTAAAGCAATAAGTCACAAGAGGAGGTTTCTATGATTTTATCATAGTTAAGGGGTAATGCTGCAATGCAATGCCAATTATGAATGAATAATAAATTAATTCATAATAAATTACATTATTTATTGAACATCTTATCACCAATGTTTAATAGATAATTATACTTATTGATATTCAAAATACACTATTTTCCATCAAGCAATGTAGTTTGTTAAAGGGGGCCAGTTCAGGCTTCTAAATAAGCATTCAATACAAAAATCATGACATTTTCCAGTGTAGTTCTAAAGATACTAAACTGTTTTATTCCAGAACACAAAAAATACATTATTAATACATCTCCCAGAGTTACTCGGTTTAGTTTGTGGGGGCAGAATCAAACAGGGACATGGGAAATAGGGGTGCTGAGGAGGCTGGAGCACCACCAGATTTCAGGATTGTTTAAGTGCAATTGTTAAAAAGACCTTTGAAATATTCAGAGCGATGTGTGATTTGTGTAAAAAAATTGCTTTATTAATACGTGTTCATAATCTACAGTAGCCTTGTGCTGTTAAAGTTGTTGTTGCATTGTAGAGTGAAGTGAAACACTTCCCTGCCCAACAATTGGCCACTTTGGGTGTGTCACTGAAACAGCAGGAGTTGTAGGCTAGTTCTGTGCCCTGAAGCAGCCTAATATCGTTCTAAAAACGTTTTGTTTTTAACCAAAATAATTGTCTCCTGCATACATCTTTTTTTTTCATCCGTTATAATAATCTCCCGTTAGATGTATGCATGGCACAAGTCTTCATAGAAATCTGATTGATCGACACTTATTTGCATAAAGTTCATCCAGCAAGAGAGAGCAAAGATAGCATAGTGTGCATCAGTGTTTGCTTTGTCGGTTGTATGTATATGTATATGGATTTTTTCTAAATTTCTATGTAATTTCATAATGGAGACGCTCCATTCTTACAAAGTCAGATTTCTTTACAGTGGTGGTGATAGGAACCAGGGCTGGTGATGTCTACAATGCCAATGTAGCCATTTTGTTTACTACCATAACCATCATTGAGTTTTTATATGTAATGTTTATAATGGTAAAATAGTGGTAAATAGGAAAAGAAAAGTTTTCTTTGCATTTTACTGCATGAAAACACATTTATTGAGACACATCTTTGGTCTTATGAGAACAGCAAAATTTCTAACCTCTTGCTAGTGCTGAAACACATTTAGATAGCATTGGTAAGTAATGTTTATTTGAGCAAATTAAATTCTTAATCACAATTATTTATATGGCAATTAATCGTTTAATGATTTAATGATCGTGATGGGGCTAAAATATATATTATGCTCTGACTGTTAATGTGGCTAGTTCCGTATTCCCAGTTTTGTAAGTCTGCTGTGGGAAAAAGGGCACTTGAACATGAATTAAATGTCATTTAATTTACAACATATTGCAGCTAATAATGCCAGCTTTACTGCCCAAACACAGACGTGTACTCCAAGCATACAAAGCTAGAAGACTACCCCTCATGTTAATTACTGTGAACCTCTGAGTTGTAACTCTATTTAAGAGCTCCGCAGAGCCTGGCATCTATCTTTCTCTTTCACAATAACAGAAACTTGGTTTAGTTATTAGTGCCACTTAATGCCATTTGGTTGCTGTTTAAAAGAAGTGTCATTTACTGATGACACATGATAATCTTAAAGAGATTATCAGTGCTTTATTGGTGGGATTTCCAGCGCTGTGCATCTGTGACAAATTGGAGTTACTGGGATGAACTATCCATATGCAGCTGATTAAGTCTTGAGACGTTTCACTGTACTATTACTGACAGTTTCCATCAAGTTGGGTGATTTAAATATCTAAAAACACTCTGCTGCTTTACGATGCACAGAAATAATTATATTTGTCTCACAATCTGTTTTCCTATAATGAGCTGAAATATCAGCTTCAGAACATTCTGTAGTAGCACAAGGTAGATCTTTTTTCTGTCCTGTGATCTTGCTTGTTAAAACTGATAAAGCCATGTTGCAGCTTCCTGCACACAGATATCTTCACAAAACACGAACGGGGGCTTTAGAGATTTTTAACGTTGTGAGTACATAAGTTGTTAAAAGCATAGCTACAGTAACAGTAGCCTTTAAGATATTTCACAGTATTTAATTTTAGCTGGTTCATGTTTCAAGAAACCATTTATAACCATTTATTATACTTGTACCAAAAACTGCCATACAATACCAGGTACAAAGTTAACTTACAAGTTTCTGACCAGAAAGCATGTTTAATTTTTATGGTTTAAGCAGGCATTGTCTTTCAACCTAACCAGCCATGCTGAAACGGGTTACTGGAGGAAGGTGCTGCAGATATCGATTATATCTCTGTCTCTCTCCAGGCGTATTTCTTTTAAGGGTTCGGTGTCTGAAGAGGAGGTGAGAGAGAGCAGTGTGGGAATGTTACAAACATATCTCAACAGCATCATGGAGGCCATTGTCAATTCCGTTTCCCAGTGTCCTCTTGCCATGAGGGTCGTCTTCAAGCAGCTCCATAAACGAGTGGAGGAACAGTTCCCTGAGACAGAAAATGAGGTTAGAGAATCAGGCCTTTATTTCCTCATATGTCATTAACATCCACTTCTGTTTCTAAGAATGTCCTCTTAGCTAACAGGGGCAGTATGTAATCCAGTGTTTCCAGTTTCCAAGGCGTGCGGCCTTGTTCTCTATGTGAGCTATACTGAATGAATGGAGAAAGCATCAGTCTCTTCACTCTTGAGCTACATTCCATCCCCGATCTCAACCACAAAGAGTGTTTTTGAGATCGTGCCAGCAGGGCCTCCTGTTCAAGAACCTCTCTCCATCTTTTTTCTCTCCTTTCTGTAATGAGAAAAGAGAGAAACTCTGTGAAAAACAGTGGGCCAGATGTACGAAAGAATACAGGTGCAGCACAAAGTGTGTCTTGATGCGACTGTAATATTTGCCTGATATGATTGCCACTCCAAGGCTGTGGTGTATCAAATCTAGTTTCAACATTTTATGAATATGCAATATTAGCAAAGCAGCGACCACCAATTTAGTTTTACTATAGGCTTATTAAGGGTCATTTTTGCCATTTTTTGAATTTGTGACAACACAAAACATTACTAAATCTGAAGCATAGTCTGTTGCATTGTTTATGAATTTGCATTCTTTATAAATTTGAGTGAACGTCCTGGTTCATTTCCCCCCTCATAAAGTATTTATTTAATTATTTAAAGTTCAGTTCAGTGATATGCATTTTTATTATTTGGCCTTAAAAAAACTGTCTGACTATTAAATTAATGGTCAAACAAATTTTTAGACTACTCAATTGTTATAATAATGGTGGTTGCCATAAAAAGTTTGTTACCTCGCTCCTGAAGATCTTATACTCTGCACTTTTGTGTTTTCCTTATTCTGACAGTCCCGATTCAGCTCATTGGCTAATCAGCAAACCCTTCCCCAAAGATTTAAAGATTATAAGGTCCTCAGCACCGGGATTGAAAACCTCTCATCTCTCTGTCATCCATTTTTCATTGTCCTGGTTTCTTCACCTTCTTATTGGTCTTTTCTCTTTCTTTCTAATATTTTATGTAGTGTTTTACTTTTGTATGTGTCCTCTTTGCTCACCATTCTCCAATCCCAGCCACATCTTCCTTGATACCCTCTCTTTTTTTCCTTCAGGATGTGAAATATCTGGCGATCAGTGGCTTTTTTTTCCTCCGTTTCTTTGCACCGGCAATCCTGACCCCCAAACTCTTCCACCTGAGGGACCACCATGCGGATACACGTACCAGTCGAACTCTACTGTTGCTTGCCAAGGTATAGCAACACGTGCAGACACACCAGCCCTAGGCAGAGTTAAGTCCCTCATTTACCTACTCACCTTAACGACCCACCTAAATCACTGCATAATCTTTACAAAGCCGTTGATTTAAAAGAAGTTCTATCGATTTAGTTTTAAAATTAGGTTCAAAATATTATGTAAAAACAATTATTTCACTTCATTGTTTGCTCAAATATCCATCTCTAAGACAGAGGGGGTGGTAAATGTACACCGTGTTATTGTATATTTACAATAATTTTGTGTTACAGCATTCCATATTTTCAATGAGTATCACTTTGGTACCACAACAGATAGGAGATTGAGTGAATGTAGAGCTGGAGTTGGGCAATTGCTACTCTCCCATGCTCCTGTTAGACTCCCTCTGACCTCAAAGTCAAAAGCCAATGCTGAGGCTAAAAAATCCAGCATGCAATGAAAATACAAAAAAAATAATTTAACAAATAAGGGGGTCCTTGAGACAAATGGGGCTCATGGTGGCTAATGCATCTTTTCCACAGGCTGACTATGCCACATGCATACACACAAAACCATCTAATCACAAGAGTACACAGATAAATGTGTCTCAACCTGACAGGAGCTGTCCATAGTGCTGATTTACAGTTTTACTGCAGTGCACTAATGTTGTCCCACCTCTCTGTCTCTCTCTCTCTCTCTCTCTCTCCCCTCCCCATCTCTTTGTCTCAGGCTTTGCAGAGTGTGGGCAACCTTGGCTTGCAGTTGGGACACGGCAAAGAGCAGTGGATGGCTCCTCTGCATCCCATTATCCTCTGCAGCGTGGCATCCATTAAAGACTTTTTGGATAAGCTAATAGATGTGGACCATGATAGTGGTGAGTCAGCGTGACTAAAGTGAGTCAACAAGCTTAGCGAGCTTGTGCAATCACATACTTTTACACTGAGCTGCTAGTTTATTAGGTACCTATCCCATCGCCTATTTTTAGCCTTCGGCATGAATTTCCTTGATGTAGGTTTTACAAGATGCTGGATGTGTCCTGCAAGAGTGTTATACCACACGGAAAGGAGCAGTCTAGCTATGAACAGATATCTAAATTTTCGGTATTCTGAGTTGTACAACAAAGCGTTGGTCCTATTATTGGGAGATCACGAGTTAGATCCCTGGTGATGCCACAGCATTCATTTGTTAAACTCTGCACCAGAGTTTGGGTTTTTTTGTGACGTTGGATCTTTTTTATTTGGTTTAGTTGGTTTACACCAGTTGCAGCAGCTGCAGAATAATACATGATGGGTACAATATAAATAATATAAATAATACAAATGGGTATTGCGTTATTGAAGCGCTCCTTCACATTTGCCTCCATCAAACAACCTTGATTATTACTTTCACTAGCCTATCATAGTATAAAATCTAGATCTATCCCTGACATATACGCTTGATAAATTTACTTTCATCCCCATTATATCGCATGAAAATAAAAACCCTTAATGTCTACTTCTGTCACATTCAGAGTGTTAAAAGTAAACCTTACTTGAATCTTTATGATTGATTAGTTTAATTCAATTCAGCTAATCAGATCACCAATGTCTGGCCCCAACCTATCAAAAGTAACTTCTGCAGTCCATGTGACAAAATCATATGCTTCACTGTTGGTCAACTGCCATTGTTATAGCAGCAGCTTGTGCGTCAAGAACAATATGAATCTCTTCTGTCAAGAATAAAATGTTAAAAGATTATGGAGACTCATATGCACTGATAAAAACATGCTCTAGTGTTGAATTCTCTCGTTTGGTATGCGCTTCTACCAGTAGTGAACTGAACCAGAGTTTGCATAAAAGTGGAGTTGTTTGATGTGGATCTGGGTACCTTAAAATGGATCAAATAAATGACCTTGCACTCTCTGGCTAGCTTGAGTTCACCCTCCCAACCTAGTAGGATTGTGTGATGGGGAGACCTCGCTAGCAGGTGGGACTTGAACATGGTTAAATTGGGGAGAAAATGTGGGGAAAATCCAGTTTATCTGACCAGACAATTTTTTTTTTTCACTGATCGATGGTCCAGTTTTAATGCCCACCAGATACATACTTTTTTGTTCTTCCCTGATAACATCTACTCCTGACGTGGTCTTCAGCTTTTGTAGTCAATTTATGGAAGGTATTCTGCACACCGGTGTTAAATGTAGATGTGATTTTCTTTGTTGTAGCCAATCTGTTTCCTTTCATGATTCTCATCATTGATCCCTCTGATCCACAAGCTGTACCATTTAGAAATGAGTGTTGTGCAGTTTCTGCAGATTGAATGGCTGTGCAGTCCTGCTGTGAATAGTCCTTTTCACCTCATCTCAAAATAAGAATAAGATCCAGATACTGTAAAAGCCACTGCAGCAAAGAAAGCATCTTAAAATCTTTCAATGTCTATATATGTGCCTTTTGAGATGGTTGATTATTATGCTGGAAGTGTCCAGCCAAGTGTGAGTAAACTGTAGCTATGAATGGATGAACTTGGTCAGCAACAATGCTCTGATTCGCTGTGCTGTTGAGACATTCAGGGGCCCTAATGTGTGCCAGGAAAACATTCCCCCACACCATCACACTGCAACCACCAGTCTGTACTGTTCACACCAAATAAGATGACTCCATGGATTCATGCTGTGCCACATTCTGAGCCTCTCATCAGCATGGGAGCTTGAATTCACCAACTAATTTTTTTGTCAGCCAAGTTTTGATGCCCAGTGGCCACTGGAGACACTTGTTCATCTGCACCCAAAATGGCTTTCAGCTTTTGTAACCTATTAGAGACTGTGTGCTTGATTCTCAGCATTGTTCCCTCTGATACACAAGTTTTTATGATCCACAGGATCACTGAAACTGGTAGTTTTTTACTTTTTGCATCACTTTTGAAGCATTTGTACTTTGGGAGATACTAGTATGCCTAGCGCCATTATGCTATGTCTGTAGTCAGTGAGATCACTTGTTTTGCCCATTCCAATGCTCAGCTGAGCACGAATTGCTAGAAATGCTAGTTTGCATGGTTGTAATGTTCAGTTTGTGTGAAGATGGATACCCAATAAACATCATAAACTGGCAACTCAGTGCAGAACTACAGCCAGCATTGTATCAGTATGTAGTTTTAGGCATTACAGATTAGCTTCAGTAGATGGTTTGGTGGTGTTCCTTTGAGGCATTTATTTATTTATTTATTTATTTATTTATTTATTTATTTATGCAATACCCACAGTTAATATTTAAACAATAGAAAGACAAATGATTTTCTTTTGGTTACTGAGGTTAAAGCTGTGGTTGACTTTGGTGTGTGCATTGCATTGTTTAGCTATAGCAGCTACAGTTTAGCTACAGTCAGTGGAAAGAGCCTGCAGAGACAGGAAGACAACTTGTACTTGTGAGTACAAAAGAGTGACAGGCGCGCAGCCTTTTATGAGAGATTATATACTCCTCACTGTGTCTGACACATTCTTCCAAAGACTTCATAAATTTTTAATCACTATACCTGTGCATATCTTACAGCAATGACTAGTACAACAGTGCACCACGTCATACTTAATGAAGCAGGTATGTCACACTACATGTGTGTGTGTGTAGGTCTTTTTGTGCATTGAAAGTAATGACACTAATTTGTCTGAAAAGAAGAATAAAATAATGTCACTTTTCCAGTTAAGAAAGTGTACTTCTACACTCTGCCATGCCATGCATGACCACAGCCCCACCTAGTGTCTATTTCTGAACAGTGCAAGAATTTTTCACTTGCACCCACTGACAATCAGATATGCGACATGCTCTTCTGTTTTCTTCAGCTGGCTGTTGATTTAGATGGCCAAAGATGAATGTGAAGATGTAGTTAATACTACTACTACAACTAATAATAATAATAGGAATAATAATAATAATTTATATAGCATATCACTGCTGTCAGAACAAAACCTCATATGTCCAAAATGATAACTTTACAGGAGAAGGAAAAACCTACTTTACTTTTAATATAAGTCAATGGAACCAGACTTTTTTTACAAGTAATTTTGGGCAATTTCTTTAGGTCCATTCATCACGAAATTTACATACAATGTAAAGGACAACAGACATTTTTAAATTATGTCAAAAACTGAAAAATGACAAAAATGGAGATACAAGATTTTGTTCCAACAGCAGCAAAATATATGTTTCCTCTTTCGCTTTTCCTATCTCACACTCCCTGTCTGTCTAACTCTCTCATTCTGTCTTTCTCTCTCTCTCTCTCTCTCTCTCTCTCTCTCTCTCTCTTTCTCTTTTTCTGCATGTCTTTTTCTCTTTCTTTCTTTCTGTCTGTCTGTGTTTCTCTCTCTTTGTCTTTTCTTCCCTTTATCTCTCTTATTTCTCTCTGTCTTTCTCTGTCTTTTTTTCTTTCTTTTTTTCTTTCTCTCTTTCTTTCTGTCTGTCTCTCTCTCACACTTTCTCTCTTTTTCTCTCTCTCTGTCTGCAGGGTGTGACGTTCCACAGCGTGCAGTGTTTTTGCCCTCAGTGACGGTAAAGGAGGGATTCCTGCAGAAACACAAAGCTGAAGGGCCTCAACTGCTCAAACGCTTTGCCTTTAAGAAGCGCTACTTTTGGCTGAGCTCTGAGACGCTGTCCTACGCCAAAACTCCCGACTGGCAGGTGGGACATGAGAGCACACACACACACACACACACAACAATTTGACTGAATATGGGATAGTTTTGATAACTATCCCATTCCCATGAGTGTTGCCCCTCAACAAGATCTTCCTGTCCCCTCAGTTTTGAAAAGAATGGCCTTACTAAAGTTAACGCTTTACTCACACCATTAAGAGTATACTCAAATTACTGAATGTTACTAATTTCCTAAACCGAAGGCAGGAGGAAAGTTGTAGAATCTGTATTGAACAGTGTTGCAGACCACATCACCTATTAAACTCATCGAAAATCCAAGATATGTGATCAAATTAGCTTCATAAGTCTGGATAATAAATAAAGTCTTTCTTTAACTCACTAGATTTAGTGTCATGGATTAGTCTCACAACTAAAACAGTTGACATGCAGTTCCTGGAAAGCAGTTTCTTTCATTCCTGAGAGCTTGCCAGACAGAGTGACAGTAACCAAGGAGGATGGAATGCCCTTCAGATTATGCAATTACTCTTAGCTCACCTGGGTAGTTGCAAAGTGTGTTTTACACCCCCCTCATCAGAATTTCATTTGCCCCTTCAACCATTCTGCCCTGGTGCTGGCTCTGCGCAAAAGATCTACAGTCCAGAAATACCTACATATGACCTTCCCTAACAGAGTGATCTTTGAAATACATACAGAATACACTGGCAGTCAAAAGAAATTGCTTGCGTGCACATCTTTCATACACTAATGTTTAGCAGGTTTAGCAGCTGTTTTAGATCTGTCTATCCTGTCTGTCACTTAAAGATGAAACCTACAACAAATGATGTCTTTTCCAAGACAAAACAAGATGCCACACATTATGTAAAATTCAGACCCAATGTAAACCCCATGGAGATGTGGGGCAACACTGATAAATGTGTGGAGAACAAAAACCCAACCACAGGGAAGCAGTTCTTTTCACACAAACTGTATAAAAATATCACAAAATGTGTGAGGTTTTCTTCAAGACTAGAACTGTTACAATATAAACACTACCTTGCCAAAAGTATAGGTGCTAACTACAGGGGGGTATTGAGTCATTGGCCCTTCCAAAACTAAGGGTGTGGGACAATGCACCCTCTATCCTTGTGCACAGCTTGAGAAAAGCCATCTTGATGAAACTGCATAGAACAGTCCTCATCACGCAGGATTGCCATATTTGTGCCATATGTAGTTTGAAAGTGCAGTTCTGAATGTATGAATGTTGACTGTATGGCTGAAAGTATGTAAAAGCTTGCTGGAAATCCCATTCCAAAACCACCCACCCTTCTGGGAAGGCTTCCCACAAGACATACATTGGGAATTTGTGCCCATTCAGTCAAAAGAGCATTTGTGAGGTCAGGCACTGATGTTGGATGAGAAGACTTGATGTTCAGTGGGGTTGAAGTCAGGGCTCTGTGCAGGCCACTGGAGTTCCTCCCCACCTCACTTGTCAAACCATGTCTTTAAGGACCTCGCTTTATGCACAGGGCCACAGTCGTGCTCATGGCCGTAACTAGAAATGAGGACATTGGTAGTTTCCGAAGGTTTTGGAAGGGTTTTATGAGATTCAGTGTGGAAAAAAGCTGTTAACTGAAAAGTGAAGAGAGATAGAGAGAGAGAAAGACATAAATAAAATAAAATAAATTTGAAACTATCACTTGATTTAGTGTAGGTTTCAACAAGTATTTTCAGCTGTAAATACACACAAATTGTTAAATAATTAATTAAATGAACTTAAACATGGCAACTGGAGTCAAATCAGTCAGAACAGCAGGAAAAGGAACAAATGAAAGGAAAATGTGCATAACAGTTATGGATGGGTAAAAAAAGGGGCAATGATTTGGCCTAACCTAAAAGAGAAACTTACGGTTGGTGTAATACACATATTCGGCAAATAGTTTATTCACTATGAGATGTAGGTCACATTTCTGCAGAATGGACCTCACTAAAATTTTCATCCTACTTACAGCCCTGGTTGTGCTAGAACAGAAAAGACCCTTCCCTAAACGGTTGCCACAAAGTTGGAAGTATAATATGGCCAAAATGTCTTTGTATGCTGTTACATTAACATTACCCTTCACTGGAACTAATGGGCCGAACCCAAACCCTGAAAAACAGCCCAAGACCATTATCCCTCCTCTACCACACATACCTAGGTAGTGTTCTCCTGGCATGTGCTAAATAAACCCACATTTGTCCATCAGACTGCCAGACAGTGCAGCGTGATTCGTCTCTCCAGAGAACACATTTCCGCTGCTCCAGAATCCACTGGCAGTGTGCTTTAACACCAGCCCTGTCAATGCTTGGTATTACGCATAGTAATGAGTGATGGAAACCCATTTCATAAAGTTCCTGACACGCGGTTCTTGTGCTGATGTTGCTGATGTTTACTCTGTTTGCTGCTTGGAGTTTTGATTCACTTTGCTGTGGTGATAATGAAGTATTCTCTAAAGCCAACAAAGCTTAAAGTCCTTTTTTTAGTGAAGATGACGAATCATGAGGGATGAGCAAATTTAAATCTGTGCTGTTTTTTAAAGTTAAATAGCACACCAACCAGAGAAATCTGGCTGCCGGCCAAAACTGAACGCCAAGTTCAACGTGCTGTGTCTTTTCCATCTGCAATGTAAGGAGAGAGGATGGGGGGGGTTGGAGAAGCGCCATCACTTTTAATAAATACACTATGATTACAAATGTGTACAGTAATGAAAACAAAATAAATAATCAATAATTTAAATATGTTCACCCACGATTCCTGCTCTTACATCCTCGTCTCTCCCATCCCCCCACCCCACCCCTCAACCTTGTTTAAATAAGGCAAAATAGGACATACACACAAAACAGTCTATAGTTTTTATCAGCATTCTGTAGATCTTATAGTCTAGCAAACAACCTCACACAGCTTTGTCCTGCTTCTTGATTATTGAAAGAAACTGCTTACATATTTTTCTTCTCCAAACATTTGCTTTAAATTGCATCTGAATTTTATTGAACTGGGTGGCATCTTGCATTGTCTTAAATATCCATCACTTGTTTTACTTTTCTTACTTCAAATGAACAGATAGACTAAACACATCAAAAACAGTTGCTAAACCTCACTGTTTATAATGTCTAAACTGACATATTTCCACAAAAACTGAGATTGTGTGCTTGCATGATGTGTTCTTTGTGCTAGCATTCTGTTAAATGTTTTCAATATAGCAACAGTAGCAGAGTATGGAAAAGTTAATAAACAGTAAAAGAGAACTTTTTAAAGGACATCACACTGATTTCTTTTGTTTCAGGTACCATTTCACCCTGTCTTCCCTCTAATAGTAATTATGGTTTCAGCTTGATCCGTATTTGCTTTATGAATGAGAGCACCATTAGTGGAAGAGCGATTAGCATTCTGTGCCTTTTGATGTAGGAAGACAGAGAAAGCGAGAGGAATGGAGAGAATAGAGCCGGGTGGAAGGCAGTGACAGATCAGTAGCTGGGGGGAGTGTGGAGAGAGAGAGCTGGGAGGTGTAGTGTAGAGGAAGTGGATGGAGCAGAAAGAGATTGGGAGGAATAAGGCTGGAGGGCTGCTGAAAGGATTTGTGAGCTGTCACCTTCCTTTGTGTGGGCCTCAATAAAGGCCTGCCTAATATAGGAAGCAGTCTGCCTGGAGACAATTCTCTCTCTCTCTCTCTCTCTCTCTCTCTCTCTCTCTCTCTCTCTCTCTCTCTCTCTCTCTCTCTCTCTCTCTCTCTCTCTCTCTCTCTCTCTCTCTCTCTCTCTCTCTCTCTCTCTCTCTCTCTCTCTCTCTCTCTCTCTCTCTCTCTCACCCCAATCCTAATAGACTGATTTGCACATTAAAGCCAGATCTTTTAGTTACGTGTCCTGTACGGCCTTAATGCTTTACGCAGATATAGTCTGTGTGTGTGCACATGCACCTGACTTAACAGAATAGAGTCCTATTCATCACCTCATGTCAATATTTAGTTGCTAGAGGCCCTTAAAGCACCCTCGAGCAATGTTTCATTCTCTGAGTGAATGTTATCTCTGACACCTCAGCAACCTGCCATATTACTTTGCAGGCTGTGGTTTGAGCATATTACTTTTGTTTTGTTATGTGAATATTCTTGTTTCATTTATTTCATTACTGTCTGTGTTTGTTTACATATGTTTCCAGGACAAAAATGTCCTAACTTTGTAGAAAAAGCATTAAAAAAGGGGCTGATCCACAATATCATTACCAAAAAAATGGTCCTGACCTTAAAAAGAGTTTTCTACGTTTTTTCATTTTTTAAAATCTGACAGTGCAAAAACATTGTATTTTGGTCATTGTGGTTAAGGTTAGGCCTACACTTAGGGCTAGGGTTAATTCTTAGTACAAATCCATTTTAAATGTTGGGACAGTACGTAAAATGCAAATAAATTTTTTATGTTTTACCTTTCGAACTTAATTATTTTTTGTAAATGTATTGTTATTCAGGAAAGGAGGCCTGTATGAACAAGGATGGGTTAAGTCTTTCCACTTTGCCAAAAACTCTTAACAGTTTAAGAATAATGTTCCTCAGTGAGCATCTGCAGGGAGTTTAGGTATTTCTCCTTCTATAGTGCAGAATATTATCAAAAAATTTGAAGAATCTAAAGAAAACTGTGTGTAACAGACAAGGCTGAAAACCAATATTGAATGCCTGTGACATTTAATCCCTCAGACAGCACTACATTAAAAACCAAAATGCTTCTGTAGTGAATATAACCACACAGACTTAAGAATATTTCAGAATGCCCTTGTAAATAAACACCGTCAGTTGATGCTTCTACAAAGACACTACTATACAAAGCAGAAGCCTTATATCAATAAGCAGAAACACTGCCAACTTCTCTGGGCTAAAGCTCATCTGAGATGGACTGATGCAGAGTGGAAACGTGCTGTGGTCTGACGATTACACCTTTCGAGTTGTTTTTGGAAATAATGAAAATTGTGTTCTCCAGGCCAAAGAAGAAAAGGAAACAAAAGGGTTAAAACTGTGAAATGGAAAACTGTCAAATCTGAATTTCTGTCTCCATGGTAGCCAAGCTTGCTCTCCCATTGGTTAGGACTTCAGGAGCTGGACTGAAAGCCAAACTTGTCAGATCAATCACTAATATAATTAGGAAGTGACAGTAGAATCAACCAGTTGACTTTTAGTTTACAATGAGTAGAACCAATTTTATGATTAAAAACACCCTTCTAGGCTTTCTGAAAGTCCTAGATACATTACTGTCTGCGATGTGGTATGTGTGGTAGTCAGATCACCAGGTTTCAGTCTGTTCTTAAACTGCAGAAAACGGCGACAGCTCTACACCAGGGCTTTACTGAAAGATATGTTAATATGTCTTTTAAAGCTACAGATAAAACAAATATAATGTCTTTTACAAGCTTCAAATGTTTGTTTGATCGAGAACAGCCAAGTTCTTTTTTTTCTCATTGTTTGACCTTGTTTTGACATTTGTAACTTGAACTGAAGGTCTAGCTGTAACAGTCTGAGTTCACAACTAATACAAAGTGCACCTGTATGGTAAATAGATCTGATAGAATGGACAATGAGTAAATGTGAGGTAGGTGCATCTAATTCTGATTGTACATCCATAATATATTATGTATTTATACCTATAATATCTTTTACCCTAACCTTAAACTTTGGCCCATCCTTGACCATAGTTTTCCTACAAAGTCAGGACATTTTTTTCCTGAAAACATACAGAATCTAACATAAATAAATAAAATAAATGAGAGAAGGACATTGCTAAATAGTGCACCTACATGGTAAGTAGAAATTACGACATGGACAAACAGTTAAGTGTAGCTAATAAAGTGTATATATTATCTCATGTCCTGCCAAATATTAAAATGTGTGTATGTGTGTGTGTATGTATGTATGTATGTATGTTTTGTTTATGTGTGTGTGACTCCAAAGACTCGCTCTTCAATTCCTATTCAGTGTGTATGTGCAGTGGAGAGAGTAGATGAAAATGCCTTTCAGCTCCAGAACGTCATGCAGGTTATAACCCGGGACCCAGAGGGACAGCTCCACACCATGTACCTGCAGTGCAAGGTGCGTACGCACTATAATGCACTCAACTACACACATACGGACATACTGAATATCTCTGCACATGCAATGGTCAGATTCTTCATTTGCACAAGCATGTATACACAAATTCCAACAATTTTTCAAAATGTCTGTATAATTCAGTTGTTGAGATGTAAACAAACTCACTCAGAGTGGTTTGATTTGAGAAGCTGAATTCTTTACAGTGGTGGTGATAGGAACCAGGGGTCACAATGTCTACAAAACAAATAAAGTCGATTTGTTAACAATCCATTAGTGGTAAATCCAAAGAATGTACTATTACAAAGTACTATTTTGCCTTACAATGCTCTGCATGGACCTCTACACCAAGAATGGATTTAAATTTCATCTCAAACCTTAAACAGTGTTTCAGGCATCAGGTGACATGTACATAACCATTTTGTATGATAGCTTTCTATTTGGTAGCTTTTAGGCAGTAACGGTTCAGACATCTGGTTTCTATCACCACCACTGTGAGAAATTTTGACTCTAGAAAGGAGCACCCAGGTTCCTCTAGAACTGTGCATTTTGCACTAGACCACTGTGAGTGATTTTGTGTACATCTTAATGAATGCATCATGCAGAAACTTCAGTCAAATCAGTGGAATTCCACTTTAAACCATTAAGGGTCTGTATGTGGGCCCACACTTCAATTCTTAACTCTAATAACTACATAACTAATACATACATTTTGGTAATACTTACCAAATTATTCATAGTAGTTCCTAACTAAAAAGGTTCAACAGGTTAATACTGTGTTTGCTCGCACACTGCAGAATGTGAATGAGCTGAATCAGTGGCTTTCGGCTATAAGGAAAGCCAGTATCTATAATGAACGCATGCTGCCCTCTTTCCATCCTGGAGCCCACCGTGGAAACAAGTGGACCTGCTGCCTACAGTCAGAACGCGCAGGTGCGTGCAGTATGTCTACTAAACCATTCTGAATGACTGTGTGTATGTCTGAAATATTGAATTATGCGGGAATTTTGAAAAATAGGTGCCTTAGTTAAAAATAGCTCATTTTAAAGCTTAGTAGTTTTTAAAGAAAAAATATCAGATTCGTATTATCCAATCCTCATTTCAGTATTCTTATCAGAAAAGAAAGTGGTATTGTGCCATCTCCAATCATAATTCCATTGCTTTGTCTGTATTATTCTATTATAATAATGTTGGTCTGTGTTTGTCGTGAGATTGTAACCTGTAATTAAATTCAGCCTCTCTCTCTCTCAGCGCTGGGCTGTAGTAGGACTCATTCTGCAGTGACTCTGGGAGATTGGAGTGATCCCTTAGACCCAGACGCTGAGGGCTCAAACCATTTACAAAGAACTGTTGCAAGGCAGAGACAAACTCAGGTATGTATGCATATGTATTTGCGTGTGTTTATTGGTACATTAACCCTTTTCAACCCCAAAACATCAGGCACACTCTTGCAATGCTCCAGTTTACCACTAGATGTCTGTATTGGAGTTGAGCTGCATTCCCAGGTGAGCTTTGGATCCTTATTCTGTATCTCAGGCTGATGTGATTTAGATGATGAGATGAAACACCAATAGTAAGCCCATTCTTTTGGCTGACATATCTCAGGATTGGTGCTGAAAAAAATTTCTATCGCATTGTCATTGCAAGCTAAAACAGGGAGCCTGTTTCCACCTTGCATTAATATGTGTTTTGTGTTCAGATCGTATCTGTTTGGCCAGATTCAGATTAGGCATTGCCTTAAAAAAAGTCTGCCCCTGAATGAGATCATACAGTTACCACATACAAGAATGTTATTTTTGAGCTTATAAACACATTGCATCATTCAGAACAACTGACATGTGAAAGAGCTGCAAATATTCCCATGTACACTGCTCAAAAAAATAAAGGGAACACTCAAATAACACATCCTAGATCTGAATGAATGAAATATTCTCATTGAATACTTTGTTCTGTACAAAGTTGAATGTGCTGACAACAAAATCACACAAAAATCATCAATGGAAATCAAATTTATTAACCAATGGAGGCCTGGATTTGGAGTCACACACAAAATTAAAGTGGAAAAACACACTACAGGCTGATCCAACTTTGATGTAATGTCCTTAAAACAAGTCAAAATGAGGCTCAGTATTGTGTGTGGCCTCCACGTGCCTGTATGACCTCCCTACAACGCCTGGGCATGCTCCTGATGAGGTGGCGGTCTCCTGAGGGATCTCCTCCCAGACCTGGACTAAAGCATCCGCCAACTCGTGGACAGTCTGTGGTGCAACGTGACGTTGGTGGATGGAGCGAGACATGATGTCCCAGATGTGCTCAGTCGGATTCAGGTCTGGGGAACGGGCGGGCCAGTCCATAGCTTCAATGCCTTCATCTTGCAGGAACTGCTGACACACTCCAGCCACATGAAGTCTAGCATTGTCCTGCATTAGGAGGAACCCAGGGCCAACTGCACCAGCATATGGTCTCACAAGGGGTCTGAGGATCTCATCTCGGTACCTAATGGCAGTCAGGCTACCTCTGGCGAGCACATGGAGGGCTGTGCGGCCCTCCAAAGAAATGCCACCCCACACCATTACTGACCCACTGCCAAACCGGTCATGCTGAAGGATGTTGCAGGCAGCAGATCACTCTCCACGGCGTCTCCAGACTCTGTCACGTCTGTCACATGTGCTCAGTGTGAACCTGCTTTCATCTGTGAAGAGCACAGGGCGCCAGTGGCGAATTTGCCAATCCTGGTGTTCTCTGGCAAATGCCAAGCGTCCTGCACGGTGTTGGGCTGTGAGCACCAAACCCCATCTGTGGACGTCAGGCCCCCATACCATCCTCATGGAGTCGGTTTCTAACCGTTTGTGCAGACACGTGCACATTTGTGGCCTGCTGGAGATCATTTTGCAGGGCTCTGGCAGTGCTCCTCCTGTTCCTCCTTGCACAAAGGCGGAGGTAGCGGTCCTGCTGCTGGGTTGTTGCCCTCCTACGGCCTCCTCCACGTCTCCTGGTGTACTGGCCTGTCTCCTGGTAGCGCCTCCAGGCTCTGGACACTACGCTGACAGACACAGCAAACCTTCTTGCCACAGCTCGCATTGATGTGCCATCCTGGATGAGCTGCACTACCTGAGCCACTTGTGTGGGTTGTAGAGTCCGTCTCATGCTACCACGAGTGTGAAAGCACCACCAACATTCAGAAGTGACCAAAACATCAGCCAGAAAGCATAGGTACTGAGAAGTGGTCTGTGGTCCCCACCTGCAGAACCACTCCTTTATTGAGTGTGTCTTGCTAATCGCCAATGATTTCCACCTGTTGTCTATTCCATTTGCACAACAGCATGTGAAATTGATTGTCAATCAGTGTTGCTTCCTAAGTGGACAGTTTGATTTCACAGAAGTTTGATTTACTTGGAGTTATATTGTGTTGTTTAAGTGTTCCCTTTATTTTTTTGAGCAGTGTATTTTAGATTGTGGTTTCATTTAATTATAGTCAGTAATGCCACATGTTCTGACCTACATTTACAAAGGTCATCACTAAACGTTTTAATATGCAGTTAATGCAGCAAAAATTTGAGCCAACCTGTCCTGCTATTATGTTATAAATGTAATTGTTTTACACACATACTTACTACTGTTTCACACATATACTTACTAATTTAGGCAATAACAGTTATTACAGTCCTCCCCCTTTCTTCTTAATCATCATCACTTCTGTTAATATTGAGTTGTTTTGCTAAAATATTAATAAACATGCAGATTAGAGTAAGACATACAAAAGAAAAAACTGCCAGTGTAGTAAACATATCAGAAAATACATGTCATTATCCCTGTTAAGAATTTTAGTTGCTGTTGTGTTTTAGTATTAGCCTACAAAGTGTTGAATATCATGACAATGTAGTGTAGGTGTAATTTGTTCATCTACAAAGTAAACACTGCCTTCCAACACTGACATACCAGAACAAATTCACACCTCAGCTCATGAGTAATTAATGAGTTTTTTTTTTTCAGCTCAACATTAAGAATAACTTGAAAATGCTAGCTGCCCTGTATGTTGTGTGAATGATAAATGGACCAACAGAAATGATTCAAAATTACTTGAAAAAAATCATTAAATTAAATGTAGTAGCTGAAATGACTTTCAAAGCTCTGAATTTAAAGGGCCCATATTATGAAAAAAATTTAATTCCTTTATTTAAAAAAGCAAGGGAAGTTAAATTTTTTCATAATATGGGCCCTTTAAATTCAGAGCTTTGAAAGTCATTTCAGCTACTACATTTAATTTAATGATTCAAAATTACTTGGAAAAAAATCATTAAATTAAATGTAGTAGCTAAAATGACTTTCAAAGCTCTGAATTTAAAGGGCCCATATTATGAAAAAAATAACTTCCTTTGCTTTTTTAAATAAAGGAATTTGATGTGATATGTAAACATTGTCAAAGTTTTAAAGCCACTCACTTTCCAGTCCATGCAGCCCTTATATGGAAACTATGCTGCAAAAACAGCCTGTTCTGAATTCACTGTTTCTGTGATGTCAGGAGACATACATACATCCACCTATTCAACCTACAGCAGTTTCCTATTCATTTTGCCCAGTTGCCCATTCATTTTGACATCCTAGTACAGTGTTCACCAACCCTGGTTGTGGAGATCTACCTTCCTATAAAGTCTAGATCCAACTGCAGTCTGCTACACCTGCTCTTGCTAATTAACATCTTCAGAAGTCTTTGTTTGGCTGGATCAGATGGATTTATGTTACGTGAGAGGGTCAGCATATTAGATGCAGGCTGAATCTAAACTCTGCAGGAAAGTACATCTCCAGGAGGAGGGTTGGTGACCACTGTCTTAGGGAGTGTTTCAGCACTTTTTGAATGAGGCACAACACAGGACAGCCAGTCAAAACAGAGCTCATTTATCTAATATCAGTCTGAGAGGCACAGTACACAAAACAGCTTGTTTAATTCTAAATGATAAAGAGATGTTGGAAAATGGTCATTTAAAAGTGAATGAATATGGGCCCTTTAAAGCAACTTACCCAGACCTCAGACTGTGTAAGTAGCTTTAAATCTGTTAAACAAGTTGTCCCTGAATGCCTTCTTGGACTTAACCTAACTCATGCTGAGTCTGTGGCCTCGCTGTGACTTCTGCTTCTCCATTTTTGGCCTCTTTTGAGAAACAGGAAGCAGTACCTGGAGTCACAGGAAACAGAAGCTGCCGCACAGGAAGAGAGCGCGGTCAAGCAGAGAAAACCCTCAGGTCAGAGAAAGAAATAAAGTTGTTCGAGCACAGCAAAGCCTACGACACGCACTAACACCTTGTCAGGATGTGGGCTTATATAGCCAAGATGTATTATATACAGATGGTGACAAATTAAAGAAAACCCCTAAATAAATGAGTGGAGAAACATAATGAGTGCAGATGCTTCCAAAGAAAATAAGCATCACACAGTTAAGCAGTTAACATCCTTCCATGCTCCATAACATGTATAATAATGCAGAGCAGGCAGTTGACCTCGATTTTAGATCAAGATGGCAAGAGTGTCTAAGATCTAAGTGACTTTGATAGAATGTACATGATTGGGGTGCAGATGGCAGGAGCTTCAGTCACAAATACTGCTCAACTCAATTTTGCATTTAGATCTATGGGAAAGACAATAGTATAGGGTTGGGAAAATAGGTTTGGGAAAAGTACATGTCCAATGACTGTGATACTTGTGCAATAGTGTGATATATAAGGAAAAACAGAAGAGCAGCTGTTCCTCAGGTTAGAATGTCAATGAAGGACGGAATCAGACTGTGTCAACAGGAACAGTCCTTCCACAACTACACGGATATTATAGTAGGGCTGCAGTGCATAAACCCCTCATTACAAAGACAAATGCACATTTAACAGTTCAGTGGTGTAAAAACGATAGCCGTTGGTCTGCAGAGATGTGAAAAAGCGATACAGTGAAGTGAGTCATCCTTCACCATAAACTGGGCGAGTGCATATGTGACATTCACCAAGAGAATGGCACATGCTTCAATGCTTGACCTCTACAGCGAGGGAGCCTGGTGGCTCTATTATGCTGTGGGGTTAACTTGTCCCCTTAGAGGAAAGGATTGCTGCAAATCAACAGAGTTATTCTTTCTGACACCCTTTAACCTGTGATGAAATGAGGGGTCTCTTCCAGGATGACACTGCGCCTATCCATGGGGAACAAGGGGTCACTGAATGGTTTGATGAGTATGAAAGTGATATGAATCATATGCTATGGCCTTCACAGTCACCAGATCTCAAACCAGTAGAACACTTATGGGAGATTTTGGACCGATGTCAGTCGGCGCTCCCCACACCATCAGCAAAACACCACCTGAGGGAATATGTTTTGGGAGAACAGTCTTCCATCCCTCCAGGACAGTTGCCAAGGTGCAAGGTGCCAAGGTATATTGTTTTTTTTCTTTAGCTTGTCACCCATCTGTATATCGTAGGCTCTTTTTATACCAGCTGCTCTTTACATTTTACACTACATCTTTCTCATATAAAGGTACCATTTCAGAGATTGACAGTGATGATATCCAACCTATCGGGAGGATACATTCAGAACGTTTTGAATGACGATTTAGTTCAACATAAGGTTTTTAATAATGGGTTAAAAATCACTTAAAGCTGCAAGTTTTGTGAAACAACCATTTTGCAATCATACAGGCACTGTAGCTACAAATAAAATATAGAATAGAATAGAATAGAATAGAATAGAATAGAATAGAACATCATTGTCCACCAACACAAAATTTGGCTTTGTTCTATTTTTATTATTGCACAACAGGTACAAACATCTATACATGCTAAGAATAATATTAAGAAGGATTTCAGAGTTTGATGGCGGTGGAAATAAAAGATTTCTTGTAAAGATTTTTCCTAGATACGGGCATCCTAAAGTGTCATTCCAAAGGTAACAGCTCAATCCTCATTGTGAAGATGATGGCTTGGATCATCATGCATTATAGCAAGAGCCTTCTTAAGTACAGTAGCCCTATATAGCTCTTCTAGCTGCTTCTGCTACCTACCTGTAACTTTGCCAGCCATTCTAATGGTCCTGGCAAGCTTGGCTTTATTTCTGGCAGTTGCAATATAAACAACACAAATACTTTCCACTAAACTAATGTAGGCCTTTTCAAGTATATTGTTCTCTCTCCAAAGCCTTTGAGTCTTCTAATTAAAAACAATCTCAGATTAGCTCACTTGAAAATACTGTCTGTGTTCCCAGTAACACTTAGCTTATTTAAAAAAAAATCTCCAAAATGGTAACTTTACAGGAGAAGGAAAAACATTCTTAGCTTAAGGTTAATAGAAGAATATTACAAACTTTTTAATGGCCTGTTAACTATGAAATTTTAACACACTGAAAAGGTTAATTGCTGCTTTCAAATTATGCAAACAGATAAAAAAAGGACAAACATGGAGGCGCAACGGTATGTGAGAGTCGTCAGTGTGACTCTTTCCATTTTGGGGAAATGCTCATAAAAATTGTATTTCTGTGTTTTACTATCATTTAATCATTTGGAACATTTAAACACACTGTCAATTATAACTGAACAACAACATTTCCAAATCATTATTATCTGATGTTATGAACATAGTTAGTAGGTGGCGATCAGATGACTTTCCCTGTCCATAGAGGGTAAAAGATGATTGTGTTTTTTTCATAACAAAGTAAGTAACCTGGTTGCCTTACAATGTTGACTTGATCTTCTAATAAAAAGTTAACAGAATGTAGAACATTATTTTTTATGTTAACTTAATATTAGAAGTTCAATTAACTCAAAATGTTAAGGCAACCAGGTTACTTACTTTTTTAACTTAAAACACTGGGTCATTTCTACAGTGTATTTAATAGTGATTTTAAAAGCTTAAACTTAAGCTTAGCCCTAAACTAGCCTTAGTTTTTGTAACAAAGAAGAAATGTTTTTGCCTTTTGTAAAAGCATTTTACAAAGTTAGAACTAATTTGCTTATCCCTTTAGTGTAGGTTAATGCTATTTTTCTCTGGTTGTCCTCAACATGTACAAAAGCATACACATACAAACTCTCACTCTCTCTCTCTCTCTCTCTCTCTCTCTCTCTCTCTCTCTCTCTCTCTCTCTCTCTCTCTCAGATAGAGTAGAGGCAAGTGTGCAGGGGCGTAACGAGCGCGTCTGTGCTGTAGCATCTCGGCTGTTGGACGTGGTTTTGGACTTGGAACGTGCTCACGCCTCCTTCCAGCACAGAGAGACTGAAGAGGCCAGCAGCCTGATCCTGCCTTCATAGAGTGCACTACATTCTGCCCTTAAAACCCACCCTGCACTCCAGACTTGCTGCACAGCCTGGCAAGCTCTCCACGACCTGAAGCCCTTCATACACCCTTCAGTCTTGACAAACCTCTGACACACTTAGTGCCCTAGATTAGTAGTTCCCTTGCTCCACCCTCACCTTTTACCCACACCATGCAGGTAAAATACGGCTGTTCCTTTAGGGCCTCTCGTCCTGTAAAAAGACAATTATGCAATTTAGTAAATTAATCACTTTATGAAGATTGTCAGGCTTTTTAATCAGACCAACATTCACGAAACATTTGTGACCTGTTTTTCATGTATTTGTATTTTGAACTGACTTGAATTGATGCTTTGTGTTGATTTTATAGCCAGCAGCCAAATTGTAGCTTTTGAAAATATGAGTATGTGTGTATGTATATCCATATATGGTTTGCATGGCGGGATGCTAAATGACATCACCTGCTTAAAACATGCCACACGTTCACTCAAACACACATGCACACACGCACAGCAGGAGAATCGTGCCTGCATCCGCGCTGCCGCTTTGTTTACTAAGTGGATGACATTTCAGTGGCTGTTCAGAGGTCATTATGGTGCAGTTTTTCTGCCCAGCTGAACATGATCTGGCGCTATTCTTCCAAACAGTGCTTTTTAAAAGAAATAGCATTGATATTTTTATATTTAAACACAAAAGGTATATACCGACCATCTACTTTATTAGGTACACCACCTAGTCTCTACATTATTTGTGTTTTTGTCTACTTTATCATGCCCACTGACCATGTAGGTGCACTACGTAATTCTACAATTTTAGACTCTGGCGCTTCTGTATCTGTGCTTCTTCAGTGGTCCACCCCAGGACCACCACAGAGCTGTACTATTAGGGTGGTGGGTTATTCTCAGTATTGCAGTAACACTGACGTGGTAGTGACATTAGTGTGTGTTGTGCTGGTATGAGCGGATCAGACACAGCAGTGCTGTTGGAGTTTTTAAACACTGTATCCCATTGCTGTCCTCTCTGTTAGGCACACCTACATTGTAGGTCCACCTTGTTGATTTAAAATCAGAGACAGTAGCTCATCTGTTGCTGCACAGTTTGTGTTAGTCATGCTCTTGTTTTTCATCAGTGGTCACTGGATGCTGCCCACAGGATGCTGTTGGCTGGATATTTTTGGTTGGTGGACTATTCTCAGTCCAGCAGTGACACTGAGGTGTTTAAAAACTCCAGCAGCACTGCAGTGACTGATACACTCATACCAGCACGTCATTGTCGCTGAAGTGCTGAGAATGATCCACCACCCAAATAATACAGCTCTGTGGTGGTCCTGTGCAGGTCCTGACCATCAAAGAATAGGGTGAAAGGATAAGAAAGTATGCAGAGAAACAGATGGACTACAGTCTGTAATTGTAGAACTACAAAGTGCACATATATGGTAAGTGGAGCTGATGAAAAGGACGGTGAGTGTAGATAAAATAAGGTGTTCTTAATGAAGTGACCAGTCAGAGTATATACGCTCACCGGCCACTTTATCAGGAACCTAAGCATATCAGCTCAACTATTCAGTCGATCATTTGGCACATCTGATGTGTGGTGGCCTTTAGTGACTTTGAATGTGGTGTGGGATTTTCATGCAAGAAAAAAACATCCTGTGAGTGGCAGTTCTGTGGGTAGAAAGGCCTTGTTGATGAAAGAGATTAGAGGAGAATGGCCAGACTTGTTCAAGCTTAAAGAAAACTATAGTAACTCACCACTCATCCAACAGTGGTGATCAGAAAAGTATCTCTGAATGCAGATGGGCTACAACAGCAGAAGACCACATTGTGTTCCAGTCAGTTAAGAACAGGAATCTGAGACTACAATGAGCACAGGCTCACTGAAACTGGACAGTTTAGGATTGGAAAGCACCTGGTCTGAGGAATTTTAATTTCTTGTAGCACGTTGGGCCCCCTAATACCACTCAAGCATTGTTTGAATGCCACAGCCTATCTGCATACTGTTGCTGACCATGTGAATCCCTTTATGGCCACAATTTACACAACTTTCTAATGGCTACATCCAGCATGATAATGCTCCTTGCTCCAAAGTCATCTCAAACTGGTTCCATGAATGGGACGTGATAAAATGGGAGATTTGCATGCATGACAGCTCTGCAGCAATTGCGTAATGCAATCATGTCAGCATGGACCAGAATCTCAGCACCCTGTTAATTGAGGCTGCTCTGATACTCAGTATTACAATGCTGTTCCTAATAAAGGGGCCAGTGTGTATATATGTGTGATAAATATCAATATTTTTGCTATGGATTCTTTTGAATTGTATATGAATGTGTTACAGCTGATTTTCTCAGTGTGCTGGGCTAAAACATACTGCCTTTGTAGCGGTCATCAGGACATGTCCAGCCAACGTGCTATATTTGCCGTTGCCATGGGCGTTTCCAGGCTACGCTGTATCCAGGTTACAGGTATAACCTCAAATCAGGGCGGCCACTGTAGAAAAGCTTTTCAGTGGAGCATGGCTGAGTCGTTTTAGCTTGTGATACGGTCAGTTTTTGGATTTTTTGAACAATTAACTGTTTTATTGTGTTTTTTATTGCTTTAATATCTAGCCATAGATCATTTTAGGACTGTACAGATTGGAATGTACAATTGGTTATGGATATGATTTCCAGTGTATTTGAGCATGATGTTCCTTTGAATCTAACTGAATAGGTTAATTAATTACAGTTTTACAAAGTGCCAGTTACAGTCCTGTGCGTTGAGGTGTGTGAGAAAGGGAAAAAATAATAGGGTGGGTGTTGCATGCCAAACTGTTTTTGTTGGCTGTTTATTTGCCAAATTATATTTCTATTCAGATTTTTGTTTCTGTGCAGTAAATGCTGTTGTTGGTTTAATACACGTTTGGTTTTGACAAAAAAGCTCTTTGTGTGCTGGGTCCCTTATTGAGCGGAAATCAATTTGTACAAATCACTAGGGAAGGATCAATTCTCTCTTCTCTCTCGCTCTCTCTCTCTCACACACACACACACATGCGATAATACCCAGGATCAATCTAAACTGTTCTTCGAATAAGGACCTTAATGCAAATGCATTAATGCAAACATGAGTCATGTTTTACGCAATACATACACAACAGTTGTTTGCATGCTTGTTTTCTTTATTAAAAATAATTGTGCATACAACTGGCACTGACAAACATGGTCTTCTTGAAGCAAGATCAGTTGTAACATCAAGAAGAATAATTCATTCTAGCCTGCTGCTTCGCTGGCTTCATGTGTCGCCCATAGCTGCACCGCTGGAGAGGGGAGGATGGAGAAAACCATAAAAAACACTAGAGGACAGAGGGAGCAAAAATGGAACTCGGCCAATTAGGGAACTTTCAGCAGCTACTAGCCTAATAAAAGGCTTCGTACAGCAGAGAGAGGAGCCCTTTGTGAATTCATGTGACTTATGTGAGTAAATATGAGAGAGAAAGCAGTGGGTAGTTTCCCATTTATCAACAACAGCACCTCCTACACTTTTATCACATACACATATTCTTCAGATTGTTGGTAGCAAGGCACATGAAGACTATTGCTGTTCAGTCAATGTTGGACTGTTACCTTCTATTAAAAAACACATTTATGATAGTACCTATATATTTATACAACTAAACAGCCATGCTTACATCTAAACATAATAATTGTGATCAAAAGCAAAGGTAAATCTTTTGGTTCTTTTAGGCCTACAATAAAAAAAATCTCATGGATCAAGTGCAACTTTGTTGCAGCTGTGCATAAGCCGAAGTCACCATGCCCGGTTCCAAGTATCAGCTGGAGGGGTATAGAGCCCCCTCCCAGCACTGGGCTGTGGAACAGTAGAACTGCCTTTTCTGTGTTGGTAAGTTTGCTGTGACCTGAGTGTTCTCAGATTATTTACAGTTCATTAGCAGTCGTGTAATGGAACAACGGGGACCAAATCAGTCGACAGAAAAGAACAAGGACAGAGGAAACACAAAGAGAGGGAAAGGTCAATCTGCCTTTGGTTATGAAGCGGCATTTATTTCACAGGAAACACAAACATGCAACAAGGTCATAACAGTTATGTTAAGACATATTATAAAAGCCCTTTTTATTGTTTCATCAAACAATATTACTAAACTGTAGCCTGATATCAGTAATAGATCTACATTATAATGTACATGTTAAGACATCTTTCTCTTGCCTTCATGACATGAAAGAATACACAGAAGCTCCATGCACCTTTGACATCATCACACAGAGAGAACATGGGCACTTCAATAAATGATCAAGTTAGCATGGACCTGTCCTATGAGGCACAAAAAGAAAGACAAAGAAAAGGAAAGGCAAAGAAAGGACGAGAGATGCAAAACAGATGCAAAGACAATCTCTCGCAATGCTAACATTCTTGAAGAATAACCCCAAACTGTGTAGTTCTGTAGCAATTTCAAGCAAAGAAATATAAAAATTCTGTCTCTTTAAACTATTACAATTCTTGACAAACGCACTAAGAACTCGTCTAATCTAAATCAATTCATATTACTTTCACTTTACATTTTTAGCGCTGTGCCTTGAAATCACACACCAAAGCTAGGGGTGCAACAATACATCAGTATGCAAAAATGTGATAGAGCACATCAGACAGATGAGCGGTATGAGCTGCATTCTGTTAGGGAGATTCAGCCAAAGCAGGATATCAGGTAAAATGAGACATAATCAAACGTATTTATCAATATTGATATTATTACTCAGGCTGGCCCAAACAGCATTGAACGGGCTTCCACTACTTGCTAGCATGTTCCCAAGTAAGTACCAAAATACTTGCTCTCAAAATCACCCTTAAAAACAAGAATATTCACACTTCAGAATGAATCATCATTTTAAAGATGTTCATTACTGCAGTTCAAAATATACTGAACAGGCAGCAACAATGTATTAATAATGTATACTGGTGATGGCAAAAAATGAACTGAAATCAGCCGTGGCACGTAGCCTTACATGTGGTACTCGGATAAGAATCACCATACTTGCAATTTTGAGATTCATCATTTGTCGTGCCTCCATGGTATACCAAGCACTTCTACAAGAGATTCCCTAGGCATCTTTACAAGTATTCAGATTATCTGGACCTGTTCTAATAATTACTACAATGGCATTTAACATTTGTTTTCATTGACCTGGCATCATTGTTCTGGGTGTTAATTTGATCTCCTAGTGCAGCTACCAAGAAGCTCCCACTTCTGCTTAGTTCACTCTAAGGCCAGAAACATGCTCAACGCAAGCAAGTGAACACAAATGTTAATGAAGTATTGGAAATGCAGTTCTACGATTCAAACTCGATGTACATTCTTTTGTTACTGTGGCAGTTAAAATAATCAATAGTCATGATGGCAATAGAGGACAAATCAAAGTGTCTGTACACAGAATCTACTGTTATTCCAACAGCCGCTAAAGATGTTCACAGTAGAGGAACACATGCTGCTTTACTTGCTATATTGGAATATATATGCAAATCTTTATCACATATATGATTATATGGATGGATTATATGGATGGATTATAGTGCTCCTTATGGTAAAGCTCAGAATGCAGATTATGCTTTCACTGCATTATGAATCGCTTTTTGACACTTAAAACCATTTTTGCATAGCTCAAACTGTCTACGTACTTACGTAAAGGACATTTCTGGCCTAATTGTACCATTTAATTCAATTGTATTGTTTGAAAACCAAAGCTTGCAAACAACTTAACCCACAGCAGCTTGTTTAAAATAATATAAGATTCAAATTAACCTACAACAGCATGCTCATATGTCATAAGTCAAACTCCTAGCTCTAGTCTCATGGATATCGTCAACATTTTTCTCCATTCCAACTGTTAAAAATATTGCAAGAATACCATATTGTAAACCCAGTATCATGAGTTCAAACAGATCACGAGCTGAGCATACTGTTACACCCCATAACTAACACTGCTGCTAAACCCGTTTCAGAGAGCTCATTTGCTTGATTATTTTCAAACTGCAACTGGGCCTCACTCACAAACTCCCTCCACAGTAATAAAATAATTAGCTTTGGATGATCTCGGCAGGACGTGTGAAAGATGGCATCCTGGCTTTGGCTCAGTGAAAAGCCTTAAGGGTCGTCAGCAAGTGCTACAGGGCCATATGGTCCACACACACCTGACTGATCACACTGAGCTCCAGTATGGCTTCACTCCAGGAAGCGGACTGCAGTGTATTCCGCTATAAAACCAAGCCAGGAGCCGTGAAAACATCCACATTCACACATACTGATCCACATATGCACTCAGTCAATCACTGGAATTCTAAGAAGGATCTCAATTTCAATCTCTCAAAGACATCTTTAGATGCATCTTAGAGCCCATTATCAGCAACATGCAGCAAACGAGCTCTATGGGTTCATCATATTACTGTACAGTGGCACAATATACAAACACATTGCGCATTTAGTCAAAAGGCTACGAACGAAGAGTGCAAGTTGTAATGAACAACGTGGACAAGTGATAAATAAACTAATCAGGTTTAACGCGAGTAGACTACTTAGAACCCCCCCTTAAAAAGTGACCTGACAGCAAGCTGGAAGTCAAATCCGTTGCTAAACATAAGCCACACAACTACTACTACACATCTACTTCAACATAGTTTCTCCATTTAAAGAATTGCATAAAAGGCAACGTTCTTCTGATCCTTATATCTCAGTACAGAAGAACATTTATTTCTCTTTTCATCTAATCTGTTGCACTGTATAAATCCCTCGTATCATACTTTCTGCACATCATCTATGAAATCACATTAAATAGCATGCAATATGAATACAGCGCTGAATCTAACGTAACATACTCTAATACTGCTCAGGCAAATAACCCATATCTGTGTGAGGGGTTAATGCAATGCAGCTCTTTTTTTAAAGCTGGGTGTTCAAATCGCTTTAGGCTGCATTAAGCTACATGAGTGAAATATTGGTCTTATTCACACTTATTGTGATTCATCTTGATTCATATTGCTGTAACACTGGCTTGCATGAAGGGAACATTTGGATGAATAGTGATTGTCAAGTGATTCTTGACAGCTTCTTTTGCTGTCATTCACTACACAGGTGCCATGTATAATCAGTACTCATCAAAGGGATATGTCAATTCACATTACAGTCCCATATAAAAAACTGAAATTCAAACTGACAAATATAAGTGTGAAAAGGTCTGAACAAGCAATGACTGTGTGTTTGTCCTTGAATGAAACCGTGTACAAAACAAAGGAGACCTCTGTTTTCAAGCAGACCTATGTGACGAGTGATAAAACTGAGATTTGAGTGGAGACAGCGACATGAAATTGAAAGTCAAAGGTGATGCTGATGTTGGCAATTTTCCCTGCAGTTATAAAAGGTAAACAACCCGTTTAGGTAAAGGAATGGGGAGTAAGGGGGTAATATCATGCTGCTAAAGGCCCCCTTTCCAACACTAGCAGACTGCTACCATAGAAGAATTCACACAGACCTGACATCATCAACATAGCGACAGTGGTAGGACTAATATCAGACATTCCTTATGAATTTTAACAGTCCCTGACGTTTCTGACAAATCCACTCTTTGTCAGATTTGACAAAAAAGCATATGTACTGAACATTACTAAACATCATATGAATTTTTGTGTGTCACATGTATGAGTATAAAAAATAAATTAAACACTTCATCAAACTGAGCTTAAGTTTATACTTACACTTGAAAACGTATATATTTATATATGTTCATATATATATCTGTACTTCATCAAAGCATTACGAGACACTGTAAAAATATATCATGAGTGCTAAGACAAACTTATTGAATCAAATGATTGCTGAAAGAAAGCTGCTGTGTTTGAGGGATCAGGAAGACCATGATTTCTGCATTCAACAGCATTTGAAAGTGTCATCCGCAAACATTGCAGACGCGAGTGAGCAACAATATGACCATCATGAGTCCTACAAAGATCCACACAACTAGTCCCCTCTGAAATAGACAACAAAGTAACGGATAAAACACAACTCCAGCTACAGACGTTCTTGAGAAATATGATCACTCAGACCTCGTTTACACCTGGCTGTTTCACCTCACTAGTATCTGGATTGAAACCTGATAAGATTTTAACCACATGCATATTTTATTTGTGAGAGAATCAAGATGTAAAATGCCCCCCTCCCCCAACATGTGATCTAGGTCTCTTCTTATGTTTTTCATCCTATCAAAGTTTGTATCACCAATTGACCAATTTCATGCCATCATAAGACTAACCCCTGAAGTCTGAGGCTTGTGATGGACTTTTATTTTTGGGGGGGCTGTTTGGGGACAATCAAATTAAGACCAAATAATCAGTGCATGTTTCGATTATCGATGTAAGTCCTATCAAACTTATATGCAATTAACTAGCAGCATTTCAGTCTATGATAAAACTGCAGAACGGACGCAACTTGCATTTGAAGCCTGAGTGAAATAATGAAGGTTTGTGGTCAGGAGTCACATGATCAGTGTTATTATAAGCCTGGCTCTGAAGCCCTACTGCTATGAAAACTTGAGACTTGTTTTGACACAGAGTATCAAGCAACATATCCCTACAAGAAGGAGCCGGACTAAAGGAACAGGGGAGGGGATTTGGTTGTTGAATATGTCTGATAGACAAAGATTCCAATACACTGATAAAATATCTAAGTAAAATGTGCCTACTGAAGTGAGAAACCACATTTAAATCTAAAAATGAAATGATGTACAAAACAACCAGGTGTTAACGGGGTCTCAGACTCTGGCTTCCAGGCGAAGCTTTGCCTCCATACATAATTAAACAAGTGACCTTAACATTGTGATAGCCAAAAGCCTACGCAGAAATACTGCACTTCACTTCAAGACCATGGCAATGCTTTTGAACAGCTAGCACTGTTCTCTGTGATCGATGTTTTAGCTGGGCACCTCTCATCTGATAGGAGATATCTCTGACAATCTCTTCTGAATGACATATTCCTCCAAGGAACACACAAAAACCTCTTGTTCAAGGACTGGAAATTGCTTATGAATGCAATAACATACACACACTCACACTCCTCCCAGGCCATGATGGATCACGGCCGGGGCTCCACTGTCTCCATGGGCAGTATAATGAGTGTGCTCCTCAGTGAGGGCCATGGCACGGCAGGGCCGGTCACTGCAAATGAGTTTAACCTTGAAGGGAAGCACACAGTTGAAGGAGTCGTGATTTATCTGCTCCAGCATGGTCAGATTGAGCCCACCTCTGTGCTTTATCAGCCTAAATCTCTCTCTTGTAGCTAGGAGGAGCTGGGGGTTTTGCGAGACATACTAAAGAGTTCCCACGTGTATCTTCAAATTCGGAGAACAATGCTAAAGAGAGAGAGACAAAGAGCAAAAATAAATGTGTTTCAGGAAAACACCTCAAAAGAATTTATTTGAAAACTCTCCTTACTGTTCCAGAAGAAAGCACTCTATACACTCTGATTCCAGCAATCTTGATCTGAAGATCAGGAAAAGCACACGTTTCACACATACAAACACTATCTAACCTGGTACCTCATACACAAACAGATCCTATATCTGACAATCGAAGTGTATCAATCAACAAGACATAAGCTTTGCTTCAAATGTCTCCGCAACAAATCATCCAAGCATGAAAAATACAGTGGTGCTCAGTTCTGTTAGCAAGCTTTTTAACCCTCGTACACACACACATCTATCCTCAGAGGCCTGGGTCAAAAAAATCACCATGGAAACAGCAGTCCTCCATGCTGCCCAGTGGGATTCACTGACCTATCGACTCACTCACTGACTTGTCTGAAACCCTCTGCAATATCCTCTGAGTGTCTACCCATGCAATGGTTTGTTGTTCACTCGGCCTTACGAAGAGCGCCTCCTGCAGTATTTTTGGTTCAAGTTATAAAGATAAAAAACAATTTCTCTGTGTCAGATGGTAATAATGACTGGCGGTCAATCAGAAAGAGAATCAGATATAACGTTTTTGTTATCATCACCCATCACTGCATTACCTTTATCCAAACACGTCACACAGACTCATCTGTCTACTATATTTCAAATGCCAGTTTTAGGCATCTGTCCCTTTTGACCTCAGGTTAGGGGTCACTCTAAAGGGCAGAAACTCCTCCAATGGTCGAAGGTGTGTATGAGTTGTGTGCGCATGTGTGTGATCCACTGCAGCTCACAATAGTCTTCTCCTCAGTCCTTTAGGTTGTCCTCTCCCACGCCCTGCGCTGACAGTTCGACAAGAACATTGTCCAAATAGTTGGGGTCAGGATAGCCGTGGCCAGTAAGGTTGGAGCCAAACTCGGTCTTGTGGTGGATCTCATTCCAAACCACTGTGTCCGACTCGCCTGTAGTGCTGGACGTCCCGATGGTGAAGATCAGACGCCTGTTCCCAAGCCATGATCAACAACTTCAGAACCTAAGGCAGAGAAAGAGAGAGAAAATATGGTTAAAAATTTAAATTTCTAAATCGTTTAAATTTGATTTGTGTGTTGTTATTGTGAATCAAGTCATGCTTACTTAACACACACAGTACTGTGGAAAAGTTTAAAGGATCTGAGAAATTAAAAAACAATTTATGTGGGAATAAAGATTTTATGTGCTCTGAAAAAAACACTTGTTACAATAAATACAGAAAAGAATCAATTATAACATCTTGGTAGACACTCCTATCCAGAGCGACTTACAATCTGATTATTTTAGAGAGGATGGCAGGAAACAAAGAAAAAAAAGGAAGCCGCATTTAAATTTGCTGCTAGAGGCGTTCTGCCACATTGGCAACAGTAAAAAATTATTTTTAATCACTTTCAGCGGTTAGAACCAGTGCTGACTGTGTGCTTTGTTTTCTATAACTGTATAAAATATGCAAGCTTTCTTTCTTGTTGGTGTTTTTTTTCAAATGAGTGTGTAAGCTCATAATTTGGATGGGTAAGTGCTTATTATTGATTTGTTTAATCAGAGTAACAATAAAACACAAGCATGTGAGGCACCGTCATGCAAAACTGTGGCTGACCATGCTTCAATAAGGTAATAAAAACATGGTCAAATAACATACAGTACTTTACAGAGGTCTTAGGCAGCCAAGAAAACTGTTTAAAGCTATTAATCTTGGCAGTATGTGAGTTAAAACACTCCAGCCATTGCATGTATTTGTAAAATCCCATCACTTCATTTAATTTAACGAAGGATTGATTTGCCGAACTAGGTATAGGATGGTAAATACTGTGCTTCCTTGAGGAGAGGTTTGGAAATGATTAAGCCAACACAATGGATTGTTTGTTTGTTTGTTTGTATTTGTTGTAACACTAGTGTTAGGTTTAAGAAATAAATGTCCAGATAGCTCTAGAACAACTAGCTCTAGATATCATTTTCTCACATGCCTAAAACCTTTGCATAAAGTTTCAAGGTGAAAGCTTCCACTTAAAGATGCAAACTAGTATACAGTTCTTTTTGAGTCATTTATTTACACGTTTCTTCGTCTAAGAAAATTCTCACTCAAGGGCAGCCCTAGACGACTGTCGATGAAGTTGACTGAATGAGTGAACTGTTTCAAGAGCACTCTGGTCAAAGCATCCATGACATGATTATAACTTCATGATCTCACCTTCCTGCCTTTCTCGGTGTCGGGTAGGTAGCAGTGCCGTGGGAAACCCCGTGCGGTGAACTTCTTTCCCGGGTTAGGATGCTCTGTTGTCTGAGTAAAAAAGAGACAAGAGTCCAAACATAAACAAACACACATACATACACGCCCATTTGAGTCTCTCTTGCTCTCTCACCCTTAATTAGCGTGCTGCAGTGAGGAAAATTCTAACGATGCCCTGAGGGCTCATCGGCAGCGGCGGGTGGCTTTATCAGAGAGGTCTTATTTAGAACTACAGGAGGCTGTTTATGGCTTTTTCTCTGACACAGAGACAGTAAACAAGCAAACATAAACAAATTTCTCACTATCCAAGCCATGTGCCACTGCACTGTGTTTGGGTTGCTTCATATTTACAAACACTGCTGAAAAAAGAGCAGAAAGGAGCGTACTGCTAATTAGAATGGGAAAAAAACAAGGAAAAAAGGAATGCAACACAACTTAGGATCATGATCACACACAACTTCAATAAACTATTAATACGCTTCTTTAGAATCCATTCACAATAAATACTTCGCATAGTCAGTCATTTTTAATATTTATGGTTTTTCAGGGGTTATTTAGTAAAGAAAATGGGTCTATATAGAACAGTGAACACTCAAAGAATCCTTTACATTATTAAAGGGTTCTTTGCATCATTAAAGGGTTCTTCAGATTGATGGAGAATATGCTGTAGATGGTTCTATAAAGAACCTCTTTGAGCACCAAAAAGGGTTCTTCTATTGTTACGATGTCAAGCCTGTAACAATAGAAGAATCCTTTTCAAAAGGGTTTTATATAGAACCATATAAAACGCCTTATCCACTAATCCATTAATTAAGAACCTTTAATGATGCAAAGAACTCTTTAAACATGCAGAGGGTTCATTGAGTGTTCATGCTTCTATACAGAACAATTTTCTTTATTAAAGAACCATCTTTTTTAAGTGTGTAGCATTCTACAGGCTTTCTCTAAACCAGGGGTGCACAACTCCAGTCCGGAAGGGCTGGTGTCCAGCACAGTCTGGAGGTTTCTCTACTCAAACATACCCACTACACCTGACAGATAACAGATAAGTGTTACCAGCTGTGTTTGAGAGGGTAAATTGCCAACTAACTAACACTGGACCTCCAGGACAGGAGTTGGGCACCATAGGCTACTTTTTAATTCATCTTCAGGCCAAAGTGGATTTAAGAAAGAAGACTGAAATCTATTTTTGTCTTTTTTTTAATTTTATACAATTTGTGCATCCCTGTTTTTCAACCTATACCTTGTTAGAGTGATTTTACCAATTTTTACAAAGTTTCTGCATTATTAAATTGTTAAGATGTTAACAAAGTCATTAAAGTGACTTGATATGAAATGCTCCATTCTGGAGAAATTTAAACAGTCAAAATTATTCACAGCGCCTGTAATAGGAACCAGATGTATAAAGCATTGGTTTTCAACCTGTGGGCCGAGGCACCAGGCCACAGTTTTTTACAATAAATAAACATTTAATTAAATGTTATTTTAAATTGCTATTGGCAAAACAGAACATCATATTTATTTATTTATTGGTCTACCACAATGCTAACGTTTCAGTGCAAGTCAAAGCAAAAATGTTTCTCTTTTCGTTCAAATGAAATTCACGCTTAATGCATAAAGGATTACAAACGGGGTCTTTCAAAAAGGAAGATTCTGAGGCTGGGTCACCTACAAGTGAAACAGCCACCATCTCTCAGACTGAGAAAACCAAGAAAACCAAGAGAAATACAGTAGTTAGTTATGAGCCTTATTGCGTTGCAACAAAAACAAACAAATGGGCAGAATATTTTCAGATGACGAAGATATACTTTGCTCTTTCAAACTGGGCAAATGATGACACTGATTGGGCTTCTTTCTCCATTTTTTCTCCACCACCTTATTCAGGAACTGAATGATGTGCGCTTTCAGATACGGATGTTTGAACCCCATTTGAGCTGCTCTGGGAGATGCGTACACCATGCCATTTGAAAAATCACGATTTATGTGCAAGATATAATCAGTTACACAAATGATCAAATTCATTTCAAATATTGCACGAACAAATCACGTCCGATGTTCGAGGACAGAAAACAAGTAACTGCCGCTCTGTGCTCAACACTTAGAGATCTTTGTTTAAATGAAGCTTTGAAGCCAAACTAATTATGCCGTCAGTTGGAGGCTAAACAAATATGCAACTAATCTTACTGAACTAAGCCAGACCTCCTTTCAATTCTTCAGCATCTCATCCAGCACTTGTTGGCTGCCAAACAGCTGCCCTGCTAGAAAAAACAGCATCAACCAGCATAGCTGGTCACCAGCAAAACCGGCATATGTTGTGTTTTGGATGTGGGTATGCTGGTCAACCGGTATGACCACACAGGGTGACAAGCTATATCAGCACCAGACCAGCACTACACAAGCACAAACCAGCTGCTGTTTCCTTTAGCATGGTAGCTCATTAGGTGAGTTAAAAAATGTTTACAAAGGTCTTTATTATAAAATCAAGCATAATTTGACAGTCTACATTGATAGTTGTATTACATTTTTTGCACTTTAAATGACCTGGTCAGTAAAATGTACATGTGAAAAAACGTTCTGGCATAAAATGTATTTTTTAATACATTCATGGTGAAGAGGTGCGTTGTACAGCTAAACAGTGCCCAAAGATTACATATAACTCAAAAGATGCGTCTAGGTTCACTGGAGGTTTTATGGTAGACTTCACGGCCCCTGGTTTCTATCACCACCCCTTTGAATGATCTTGACTACTGAATTAGGCAGAAATGTAAAAAATCGATGGAATTCTCTTTCAAACTTTGTTTAAACTTTGTTTCCCATCACACAAATATTGTCAATCAGTACAACCTTGCCTCATCTAGCTCTAATACTGAAACTTACCACTCTTATGTAGCTTCTCTCTGGGTTTAAATTTAGGCCAATGGGAAAATCAAGTAGACAATCGAAACACAAATGAAACAGCAAAACTATCTTTTAACAACACTGACATACACATACCTGTACGCCAGCAGGAATGTCATAGACTATGCGTATGGTCTTTGATTCAGTGTAGCCAGGCAAACTGTGGGGAATAACATGGTACTCCATCTTCCCGGGGGGCTGCGTGCCTGTCTTCTCTCCATAGATAGCTTTGCATGTAGGGCACTGCAAGCTGCCATCCTGGAAGGAAAACCATTTGGCATCTGTGTTATTTTCTGTTGAATATCTGTTTGTTTGTTTTTTTTTTCCCAACACTGAAAAATAACTTTTAACCTGAGGTACAGTAGTACTGAAACTTATCTATAGTCTTATTTTTTATTTATTTATTTAATTTAACTGTCTCTGTTGCTCCTGTAACACCTAAATTCCAAAATGGGATTAACAAAGTGTTATCTCTTATGTTGATAAACTTTTTACTTACTATTGTTTAATAATAAATTAAATACTTAGAAAAGGCTTATTTGTGAGATTTATTAAAAGCTCACATAATTCTCAGACAGCTTCTAGGTGATAGAAGTAGAGTATGTTATAGGTTATAGGTTAAACTTGACACCACATCAAAAGTGGTCTCTATTTTGGAAATTTCAATTAAAAACAACTGACACATATTTATTACTCATCTGTTACTCATGCTAACTGTTCTCGCTATACAGAAAATTTTGAAAACAACATTTTCATGCCAGTAAAGCAATATGCCATTTAAACAACTGAAGAAAAAAAAATAATTGAATAGTAAGCATAGTTGTCTTCTTAAATGAAAACATGCATTACTATTTTCATAAAGCTATTACTTATGAGAGAGTCAAAAAGACTCAATGTTAAAAAGACATCAATTAATCTGATAAGCAACTATAGCAGGTGAGGGATCTGTGTGCCCTTACCTTGTTGCCATTGCTGTACATGGCTATCAGGCAGAGAAGATGATACACGTGGCCACACTTGCCCAGTTTGCCGACCAGCTCTGGCTTAATGCCTTTGTGACTCAGGACACCCTCGTAGCCTGATGACGTCACCAGTCTTTCCATGCATATGGTACAGTCCTGATCACAATACAAAATCACATCAGCAAGCCAAACAGTATTAGTGCCTGTAATGCACAGTAAAAGCTATCTAATGCATCTAAACAAGCTTAGAAACAGACAGTGGTACCATTTCAGCTCTTTTAGAGCCTGTAAATGACAGTATCTATTCTCTAGAACATAAGAGACATTGTGTTGTTTTGTTCCGTGGAAAAATAAAGCTCCAACTAATCACAATATATTGCTGTAGATGTACATTTGATCTAATTTCTGATCTATTTCTGATCTATTTTTCAGTTTTATAAAGCTTGCTTGCCAAAGCCAACTTCCTGTTCTTTGTTATCTTCTTCTCATTACTAACACGCTTTTGTTATTGTATCTATTTCACAAGTCACAGTTTTCAAGCTAGAACCTCAAGCACAACCACCTGGGATACCCTAGCAATGGCTCTATCAATCCAACTAGTTACACTTAATATTTATACAGAAGTACAGATGTCAACATCCAAGTGGGGCCCAGTTTACAGGCTCAACAAGCCAAACTAATAAGAAAAATTTGCATGCCTATTAGAAGTGGTCACTGTGCAAAACTGAGGAAACGTGGTGGAACTAACCATTTCCATGTTACCATTCTTACACATATTTCCCATCAAGGGAGCATTCAAGTAAAACACTTTCTTTTTCAATTCAGAAGCAGCAGTTTCAAGTCTAAGGTAGGTTTGACACTCAAATGAGTAGGTCTGATGTTCAAATGAGTTTGCATATCTATATTCCAGAAAAATATGATACTGTATGATACTGTACTCTATAGATCACATTTGTGGTTAAAACAAAATAACAGCAAGACACTCATCAGTGAAAATGAAATATTAAGGTTAACTTGATATATACTATCAAGTTAATATGTAATTATAAGTGTGTGTCGTTATCCCATGTGGAGTACATCAGAAAATCACATTATGTGGCTGAGTAATAACATTAAGACTGTATTATCTGGTTACAGTGGTACATTTCATATTAAATGACAATACTTACAGCATGCAGCATTCTGGGACTTTGAACATGCAGTCATTGTATAATGTCATGGATTATTATACTCATATTTATCTGAGTATGAAACTGACCTCATATTTCATTCCATTTTACATTTTATCTTTAAAACTCTTACCCTGAGTTGTTGTCTACACATTCCACCTGAAATTTTGATCTGTAATCTAAGGGAAAGTAAAACTAAAACTAAACATCATTCCATTTACGAAGTACCAAAGTGGGTACAGTGTATTTCCCTGGTCGAAATTAGTCAGTGTTCTCAGATTTTGCCAGTTTTCTCAGATTTGAACAGGAAACGAGTGGGCAGCACTCACCTCATCTGGAGCCACTTTGATTTTCTCTGTGTATCTGCGCACCACATCCTCTGGGTTTTTGCCTAGTGATGAAACAGCACGTACAGATGCTCACATGAGCCCACACACATGAGCGCACACACAAAGACACATTTAAATTCAGGTCACAAAGCCCCAAAACACTCATAACGTGAATGCTCCACATTCAGAATTGCCTCCTCAAGCTTTTTTCAGAGAAATACTTTTTTAGCATCGTCATCTGTGAAAATTTCCACAGAAAAAGGAAGACAACTTTACGCACCTGTAGTTAGTGTATTGCACCGGTAGTACTACTGTACAATTAAACTGCTAATAATTAGGGCCGAATTCATTGGGGTTTTTTTCTTTCCCTTATGTAGGAATAAGCATTTTGTGCTTCGAACCATTACCCAAAACTCCAGTCCTGACCGGGCTTATGTGAGTGAAGTGTCCAAAACAGAAGGAGGCTGTCTCGATGCTTTGCTGCCTGTGTTATCTCATAGGTCAGTACCTTAGAAGGCGGTGTTGTGATGAAGGTACCTTCAAAGGAATGATACATCATGTTGTTTCCAAGATACAACAGTATCTTTTACCCCAAAAAAAAGTCTTTTAAGAAGGCTAGCATACTGAACTTTTTGTAACCAAAATAAAAACCATTGTATTTGTACACAAACCAGTGTCTCTCCTCACTGTGTCAGTGCTGGTGTTTTCTGCCATTTTGTCCTAACTGCATCAGCACTGACGCAAAGGAATGGGATACATAAGACAGAGAAGGATACATCTATGCTGACTTCAAAGCAGAATATAAGAACCTCAGCCGGCAGTGTTTTATACAAACATTCAACTCAGACATGACTGGGTGCCCTCCTGTGTTACGTTTCAGATACAGCCATAGTAAACTGTCATGCATAGCAATATTTTTCTTTTTTAGTTTTAGTCTAAGGTTTAGTAAATTCAGCTAATTTAATTCTACTGCCAAAAAACACAATGCAATTTTTAACACACTGAAACGATCACATGTGATGCACTTTGTTTTATTAAACAAATGGGTCAAAGACAAAGGAAGAAGGAATGGATCCATTAAGTACTAACAATCAAGTTAAAGATGTAAAGATTAATCGGAAATAGATCGGAAACGTCCATTTTCAGCCTAAACATTCGATCCGCCAAAATTTGGCCAATTGCGAGGGCCGATCAATGACACCAAACAAGTAAGCCAAAATTTGCTACATGACATTTTGTCAGTCTGGCAATTTTAATTTTTCAGAATTACATGTACAGTCAATTATTTGTTTTTCTCGTAAGGGAAATAAATACCATTGTAACTTCATCCATCATCCAACCGAGTACAGTGAGTAACAGAATCTAGCAGAACTAGCGATAAGTGACAATACAAAACTGACAAAATGCTACCGAACTGTGGAAACGCTAAATGCCTAATGTACTCTGAAATACTCAAGGAAAGTGCAGAGTGCTGGACAAGCGACAATCCGGTTTCATTGCAAGTGTGTAACTGAGGCACCTATTCCACAGAGCAATCAGGCACTAAATTAGTGCTAGAGTTATGAGGGCTTTCTTACTCTTGTATGAGTAGGGACAGCAAAAAGAGTATTTAGCACTGTTTCAAATATCCTGAACAAGAAGCTGAACAGACTGCTGTGCTGTGCAAGAAAGCCTAAGTGTACTCTTCATGAAAAACAATCTGCAGTTCATTCTCAGTGGTAAGCCCTGAGTCAGTTGCACAGCCTTTTGCCCATGGCACTTTGTTCTGCATTCAAATATTTTATCTTGTTTCTAGATTTTTTTGTCTGAAAATAATTCAAGCTTATGAGATGCAGTATGCCTGTTGTCTACTTGATGAGTTTGTTACAACAATCATTTAACTGTTGCTATTTGCGTCAATTGAAAATTGTTTAAGACACATAAGCGTTTGAACATGAAGCTGTAAGACTGTGGCTATTTGATGTAAAGCTGAATGATTAATCATTTTTAAATCAAAATTGCAATATGAAAGAGTGCAACTGTGCAATCACAAGAGCTGTGATTTGAATTATATCCTACAAGATTCAATGTAGCCTTAACTAAGTTGTAAGCGGGCAGGTTTACCTAACAACATAGGGGTGGCCAAAGTTTTATTACAACTTATACAAATTATACTTCTATAACCTAAGAACAGCTCAGCCACTTTGCACCGAAGTCCCTGTAGTTACTGAATCACAAGCCTTGGTATGTAATCAGTCTGGGATTTTAAGGGGTTAAACCAATTGCCTGGGTAGTTAAGTGCCACGTCATCCTCTCCCCACCCCCAATCGTCAATTGGTATTGACCTCACAAAATGCTGATGGTCCGTCTCTAAATAAAGTATATAAATTTTTTCTCCAGTATGACTTAAAGAAACTTTTTGCTTAAAAAAATGAAGCATCAACTCACAAAAACAGCTAAAATTTGGGTTAATGTTATATTTGCAAAACCAGGGGACAGAAACTTCTTTACTCTGAAATCTTACCTTATCTGTTTAGTTACCATGACAACTTCAGTTAGGACTGAATTTAGGACAGAAGCTATTACAGAATAACAGAATTTTGCTCTAACTTCAGATAAGAAAACAGTATTACAGAAACATCCTAACTAGACAAAATGTCCTAAATTCTGTGCTAAATTTAAGACAACCTCAAAAGTGTCTTAACTTCTGTTTTAACTACGTTTCAATCATTTTATGCAGTACCAGACAGCATAGTTAACTATAACTAGCATAATGATGTTACATGTATCTGCATTAAAAATGGTGCTTTCACTAACGAGTTTTTTTTTTTTCTATTAGCGTTTTAATAATCTCAGACACTGCAGACACAATCTTCACTGACCCCTCTTATTACCTTTGTGTGTTAATGCTGATGAAACCTCATCAGATAAATTACAGTAATGGTGAATAATGACAGACCTGAACATGTTGCTGTTTATTAGGAGAAATAACGTTAGCACAGTCAGCTGAAGTGTTTAAGAAATGGAAACTGAAACTGGACAGCTCTAATAACCAGCACAAAGCGCTGTCACAATAAACTTATCTTCAAGTTTATCATGCCTTAGTTTTGTTGGACCTTTTTTACATCAGTAACAGCAGCTAGCTGTCTGACCAACTAACTTCATTATTTTGATTACGTGTTTATGTTTTAGCTGTGCATATATGGTCGGTTGCTAGGTAACAGACATGACAGTTGACTGTTGACTTTGATCAAGAAGTTTAAGATTTCCTAACTTGAAATAAGATGCTGTAAGAAAAGACAAGATTCCTAAATTAGAATTTGCTTCTGTATAAATTTGTAAAAAATCATATCTTGACTTCTCAGATCTTAACTTAAGACAAAAACATAGGCAGCTTCTGTAATACTGGCCCTGATGTATATTATGTTCTGTCTAAAAATTTTTTTCACACCTCTGACACAAATCGAAACTGTCCTATACTGAAAACGTAACTGTAAAATATCCATGATTTAAATAATGAAATTATCTATACTGAATCATGTTTCAAAATTCCCAGGCCTAATAATTATGTCTCCTCAGAATCAATATTTTTCAGTGCTGTTTACATATGACGTGTGTGGGGAATACTTACAACCATTTTTACAACATTTTTACAATGCAAACAGTGCCTATCTGTGATCAATATCTGTCAAATAGCACATTTAAAAGACAACAAGTGTCGGCGAAAGTGCTGCACAATAATATCAATTTAAATAACTACTACTAACTAATCAGAAGTTTACAATACATTGATCAAGGAAAAGAAATTACAACATGCATACAAAACAAATTAAATAAAAAGCAATAAAACTGTGTACTAGTACTTAGTTTGACGTCTTTTTTTTTTGTTTACGAAATACCTTTCAAATAGCTTAATAGTATTGATAGTACGTAATAGTGAATATAGAAAACCCACTGGCTATATAATGACTAACATTTATATAAAAAAAAGGTTATGGCTAGCATAACAGAAAATCCATAATAATAAATTTTGAGCCAGGCTACTTTAACAGTATTTGAGGAGCCTACTGAAATTATATCATGTGAAAGGTAGTCTGCCATCTTGCCCTGATTGCTCTGCCATCGTTGTCACATCAGTACACATATTGGTTCAGACTGTTTCAACTGAGATCAGCAAAACAGTGTGCCAACAGCTCATTCTCCAGAGGAAACACACATTCACACACAGAGAGAAACATGCAGCAGCACTTAAACCACACTCACACACATACACACATACTCAAAACATATACACACACAAACCAGTGTTCATCGCTTCTACCCTTCTTACCCTTGCGGAGGTGTTTTTTCTTGGTCTTGCGGCGGATGCCATTAACTCCAGGTACTGGCTTTAGGTCGCTCTTGTTGACTGGCGGCGGGTGCAGAATAGGCTTGGGGGCACGAGTCAGACACACAGGCAGCCCAGCAGCACACATCAGAATACCCGTCATCCCTAAAAATGATAAAGATGAGTATGTATTTGTTTGTTTTCATACAAACTTCAATCCTAAAAAAGTTCAGAAAGTGTGTGAAACAAAAAGACAAAGCTATATTTAAACAAAAACAGTACAAAGACAATATACTCAATGTTTAAATGTCTTATCAATTCCATTATTTAAAAATATATGCTTATTCTGAAATTCTTTCCATTTTTCACAGGCCAAAAAAGAGGACGGGGCAATATAAGACAACGAACGTTACGAAATGTTCAAAAAACATCTTACAATGAGCAGCTAGGAAAGGTCTAGTCTTTTATGAGCATGCATCAGCAAATAATCAAAAGGTTTAAGAACAATTTTCCTCAATGAGCAATTGTAAGAGTTTTAGGTATTTCAACGGGCAAGGTCAAAACCCACAACTGAATGCCCACGATCTTCCATCCCTCAGATGATACTATATTAAAATCAGCATGTTTAAAGGATAGATATCACCACATGAGCTCCATAATACTGTGACAAACTGTTGTCAATAAACACAGTTCATTGCTGCATACAAATTACAACTGCACTATGCACAGCAGAGGTCATATGTCTAGAATGTCTAGAAACACTGCTGACTTTGCTGGGCTCAAGCTCATCTGAAATTGACTGATACACAGTGGAAACATGTAGTGTGTTCTGGCAAGTCTACTTTTCAGAATCTTTATGGGAATAATGGTCAGTGTTTTCTCCAGGTCAAAGAAAAAAGGACCATCCAGACTATTACCATCTTAAAGTTAAAACGCCAGCTTCTGTAGTGGTACAGGGGTGTATTAGAGGGTAACTTGCACATCTATGATCTACACACATCAATAACACTAAAAGATATATACAGATTTTGGAGCAATATAAACCGTCTTCTAGACAGTGACTTTTTCAGTGACGTCCATGCTTATTTCAACATGATGAGTCAGGCCACATTCTGCACATTTTACAACAACATGGCTGCATAAACAGACATTGTCTGTGCTAGATTTATCGGTTGGCATGTCCCAAACAGGAATCGAGGTTTATATATTTTTCAGAATAAAAATGTCCTGACTTTTGGGGGGAACCAGAGATAAATAGGGCTAATGTTCCACCTACTTAAATTTTTTTTATTTTTATTTTTAATGAAAGAACTACACCATTTCCATTTTTGATTACTGAGGCTAAGCTTAGGATTACGTTTAGAATATTCTTATTACATATACAATCACCAAACACTATACTAACATGGGGTAGGGTCTCCCTTTTTCTCTTAAAATTCCTTGTGGCATGGATTCTACAAGATATTGGAAATTCCATTGAGATTATGTTCTCTGTTAACATAACTGCATCACAGTTAACAAAGAATCAATTCCTGCTGATTTTTCAGCTGTACTTTCATGCTGCAAATTTCCTGATCTATCATATCCCAAATCATATCTGGTGACTGAGAAGGCCACTGAAGAACAGTGAACGCATTGTCATGTTCAGGAAACCAGTCTGAGATGACTTTTGCTTCATGACCTGGTGCATTATCATGCTGGAAGTAGGCAGTAGAAAATGAGTGAATCATGGCCATGAAGGGATACACATGGTCAGCAACAATACTGCAATAGGCTGTAGCATTCAAGCGATTATTGATTGGTATTAACGGCCCAAAGTGTGCCAAGAAAATATTCCCCACATCATTATGCCACCTCCACCAGCCTGGACTGTTGACACAAGGCAGGCTGGGTCCATGGATTCTTGCTGTTGGTGCTAAATTATTAGAAGTTCAATAAATGCTAAATTTTAGGACAAAAACAAATAATTTCTCACAGTGCACCAGGGGCAGAAAAAATACAGAGAAACTATATTTAAGTGAAAAAACCTTAACCTTAATTTAATTTTTATACTGAGCCTTTGTCTTGACAATTTATAAAAATGAGTGTGTGTGTGTGTGTGTGTGTGTTTGTGTGTGTGCGTAAGTGAGCTCCCACCTGCTAAAGCTGGGTGAACAGGTCCCGAGCCAGAGAGATTTTTCACAGGTAGTGCAGGTACCCTGCAGAGAAGAGAACAAGACAAACAACAAAAACAACACCGTGAGTGTTCAGTGTTCAGAGCTATACCTCCTCTTCATTTTAGTAACTATCAATATGCAGCCCCTGCAATTACATTTAGAATAGATTAAAGACTAAGTTGCAGGTTATAATGAAGTGAGATCAGAGTCATATGTCCCAGGTAATGACAGCAAACAAAAACAAATAAAAAAGAACAAAAGCACTATGAAGTCCTCAAGGAAAGGAGTGTCTCACTGTCCAAACACAGAAAGATCCTTTTAGCTTAAATCAAGCGTGTTGCGAGCAGAATTTTATTGCTCTCCACTATAAGTGTTCCTAATGTAAAAGCCAGGTTTCATTTAGTCTAGAGGCAGGAGTCACTTACAAGAAGACAAAAAAAGATCTAACATATATTATCCATACATCCCAACATGTTTGTCTTCTGAAAGGGTGTGCTTTCTGGGCTTCAAGTTTTATTTGATATTATACAAAAATATATATCTGGAACAACAATCAGACATAAACTTTTCCAAAAAAGGTTGACATCAAATAAATGTTTCAATCAAAATAGAAACACACTATGCCCCATGTTTAATGATTTCTATTAATCATTCTAGAGAATGTTACACAGAATGACATTTAAAAACATTTAAAAACATTTAAAAACATATTCTTCTTATCATTATCCACAAGTAGGAAGTGGGAAATCTAAAGGTTTTCAAGTCAGATAAGCACAAGGAGCTGGCCCTTCGGATGAGTTAATGAGCTAACAGAGCTAACAGGTACACTATCCAATCCTGATCAAGATTTATGGTCTTCTACATGGGATTTTTTCTCCTCAGTGGACGATGTGCCAGTATGTTTGTCAGAGATATATATTTTTATTGTTTCTGAACCTTAATGTCAGCTAGAGTGATAGAGGCTCATGGCTTCCTTGTAATAAAGCTGTAATAAAGCTGTGCTACCTCTGACCTCTCATTCGTGTCCTTGACAACATGCTCACATTAAAGCACACATGTTTTGGAGTTGCAAGGCATAATATATTATACATTTTTACTTGCACATACAAGCAAAACAGTCACATTTTACAGTCCTATGAAAAAATAAAAATAATAAAACTGGTGTTCCTTTGATAGAGTTGTTTTAATGAATGATGTGATAACTTGCTTGATCTTCATAATTAACTCCAAAAATTACTGATCAAACTTTGTTTACATGTTATACTTTTAAGATCTGGAACAACAATCAGACATAAACTTTTCCAAAAAAGGTTGACATCAAATAAATGTCTCAATCAAAATAGAAACACACTATGCCCCATGTTTAATGATTTCTATTAATCATTCTAGAGAATGTTACACAGAATGATATCTACCAAACTGACGTTTAAAGCCTTACTAGTGTAGATGACACAGCAGCAATCGTAATACCATATATGCACGTGTACTTGTAAAACCACTCTTATTTCTCTGCTAATCACCAATTGACTGTAGCAACACAAGGAGCAGCTCCTGTAAGACATCTCCAGAAGTAGATTATTTTAATTGTACATTTTTTACAGTATGAGTATGGGCTCTGTGTTCTGGACAAGGAAATTGAATTAATATCTTCACACATAGCTGCATTGCAACATTTCAACACAATGCCAAAAAGGTTCCTCGCCAACCTCCTTACTAACACAGACAAACATGCTACATTATAGTCCCTATATTATATAATATACTGATATAGTATACTACATGCTAATTTATATGCTATATTAACAACATATAAAAAAAACAACTGATTTCCAGGCGAGTTAGGCCATCACATGATGTGCTTGGTGGAGTTAACAACTGTCAAGGCAGGTCCAAAAAGAGCAGGAAGCCATGAGCCACAGAGAGAAACAAAAAGGCGAGAAAAATGGAAGAAAGCAGAAAACAAAAGTGGAAGAGAATACGACTGCCTGCACTATTTAGGCTTTAAACACTTAATATGTGCAGCACTGTGAGAAAAAAGAAAGAATGAGAGAAATATAAGCTATTTTTTTCCTGAAACCAGCAGAGAGGTCGTCTCTTGGCATATCTTTCTTCCATTCCTTCCCTCTTTCACTCCCTCTCTCATCGAAGTGACAGACAATTTAGGCTCCACTGCCCTGCTCTGCGTAAAAGAATAAAAGAAACAACAGTCTTACCCTTGCTTATCCTCATCCTCTCCCTCCATCTCTCTAATCTCTCTTAAATAAAAGACACTTCCTGTTCGTGCCAAAACACACACACACACACACACACACACACACACACACACACATACATATACACACATTTGCACACGCATGCTAACCAAAAGAGGAAGTGAAAGGTTTTGAGCTGACTGTGTACAGCCCTTTACTAGACTAGCCAATGCAAACAAGAAACTACAGACGGCTCCCCATTCTTAGCGCTCTGCTCATCACAGTTAGGTTTTTAAGTTGGGCAAATGCAAAATTACTCCAGTACATTAAAGGCTTCCACTCAAGGCACTTAGCAGCATACAGAGAGCCGTATAATTAGCTTTGAATTAGCTTTTCACAGCAATGCAGTCAGTGCTAATTAACTCTTCTCAACACTTGCTACGCCTAAACCATCATAGTTAGGAATAATTATTAGTTTTAAGTAGGGATACTCTGATATGGGAATGCTGGGCCAATGCCAACATTTTTCATATGTGCCACATATTTGTGCCACATATACATTCATAAAAGATTTGTCTTAAAAGGACATAAAAGGGCAAAGATTGATGTATATTTCCCACCTGATATACAAACGTTTGGCAGACAGTCCCTGTCACATGATCAGTTACACAAGGGGGCAAAACAAATAACTGTGGAAGCCTTCACCCATCCACTAATATTACCTCATGAGAAATCTAGCCTATATCACGAAAACCGCACATGTATTTGGTTGAAAAATAAATTACACAACATGAAAAATGACTGTCACTAATGGTTGATCTTACCATCAGGCTACTTCATATCATGTGGCTCTGCTAAAAGGAGACTGTGGCAAACAATGAACTCTTACAAAAGACAAAAGAAATGTCTCACAATAACCTTTACTATGGCAACTACGTCAACTTGTAAAAGGGATCAAAATCCCTATTTGGACAAGACGTTTTACATGAGGAGGTGGGGTTGTGTAATTTTTAACAGCATTTCTTAGTGATTTCAGTCCTGTTCAAATGCGCTATGCCAGTCATTTTTACAGACTGCATGCTCCTGCATCAGTAAAGATTCTGGCGCCTTTCACTTTCTACAAAACAAAACTACAGGTTATATTAATCTCATGGGATTCGACATGTTGGTAAAACTGCTATCATTTTCTCTGGAAGTTTCTTAAATATGGTGGCATTTAGAGAAGTGTTTACTTGTGATCTTTGTGGCCAAGCTGATATGTACTGTCCTCCTTAAGTGTACAATGAAGAAAATCTAACGTAAACATAAAAATTACAGAAAAAAAAAAAAACTTTTTTTTTGCAGTGATGTTGACTGTTGGCTGTGAATTCCCAAGCTAATGACAATGCTAGTGGCACAGTGCATTCACTTAAGACAAATAGATGGTTGTGGAAATAGGATGATAGTTAAATTAAACGTTTTAACTTGTTTTATACTCTTTCCTGGAGTAAGTGCAATGTACAAGTTGAGTAGCCACTCTCATCTCTGTCATTTACACCAAATTTTCTAGCCATGCTAATTGGTCATAAACATTACAGACATCCAGTGCTACAATGGCTCTACCCTACCTCCCAATGTAAAACTAATCCCATCTGGATATGCTGAAGTCCGAAGGCTACGTGCCCCTACATCATGCCTACCAGTGTGTGCATTTCATGAACACGTATAATTTATATTAAGTACACTATTTCCATTGCAAATCATACCAAATTATAATAATTAAATAAAACCTGATTTACATTGTGTTGTCTCTTTCAAAAATGATACAGGCAAACAGGGCTACTTCAAATAGTTTGCAAGACAAATACTATTCATTCATTCATTCATTCATTAAGAATAAGTTAATAAGCTAGTATGCTGAGAACTTTTTGAGGACCTGACAAACCCAGCGCTACAGGCAACCACCTTTCAGGACTGGGCAAATTTAATACATGATAATTAGTGGCTCATGAGGCAGAACCCTTCTAGTATACATAAGTAGAGATATACTAGAGGGGTTCTGCCTCATGAGCTGCTAATTATGATGTATTAAATTTGCCCAGTCCTGAAAGGTGGTTGCCTGTAGTGCTGGGTTTGTCAGGTCCTCAAAAAGTTCTCAAGACACTTGCATTATTGCATTCTTTGTTCTGGGTTGTTTTTGTTTTTTTTTCAGTTGTTTTTTTAATGAATAAATACGTAAAATAAACCATCGAGTAAGCCTGTTAAACCACTGAGCACCTATTCTTAGAAGAGAATATGCTGCACTATACACTTTTCCCTCCTTTTGATCATTTATTGTTCAATCAGTTAAAAATCAGTTTTAAAAATCAGCTGCAAACTACTTAAAAAATGGGCAGAGTTGAAAGCATGTTCAAATGCGCTCATTTCTACAACTGCTTGTGATTTATAAAAAACTCAGTCGCACTTCAAAGTGGCATGCGTATATTCAGGTATTTTTAAGTCAGTCGCACATAAATGCTGAGAATCTTTCTTAAAAACATTTAGTATGAAATTCAAGTGCATTCTATGAATAAGGTGTCTGGACTACATTTCTCTCTCATTAGAGAATGCTGTTTAAACTGATGTGCAGTCCTTGTACTCATTGTCCAAACCAACCCTTATTTATACAGGGTAACAAATTCAGTAAAATAAATGAAATGCTAATTTCTTAGCATAGTAGCCCAGCACCGAACATTCTGCTCTTCAACGGTACAATTAATGCATCATCAAATATCAGTTTGAAATACTGGTCAGATCTAAACATCTGTTTGATGTTGATATTTCTTTAGGCAAATATCTACCAACACCAATTTGATTCTGATATAATTTAGCATTTTTTGCATGGAAATATAAACAATTATTTACAGTTCGTTTTCTGATAATTACCTGTTTTTTGTTTTTTTTTTTCATTTTTCATTAGTGCTCTTCAAAAATATTTTTTGTGTATAACATATTGTTATTGTTGTATCCAAAACTAATATTTGACATGTTTTCTAACCTTGATGGTTATTAGTGTTTATTATTGCAAGTGAAGAGCAGGGCTGGTGTTCTGATGAACCGTGCTATCTTGTCAAAATGCCCTACTGTAGCGCATATTTATAGGCAGCACTCTACATACAATTGTAGGCAGGATATTTGGAAAAAATCACCTAATCAAATCATGCCAGCAGTATTAAAATTACAGGTAGGATATTTTGATAGCCTAAATCACCTTATCAGAAAATGCTACCAGATGTTTTGATAACCCACATCCTCTTATCAGAAAGTAGGTACAACATTTACCTGAGTCTGTATAATACACTCAAAGTAATGCTGAATTAACATTAAAAACACAATACTATGTTAGAAAAGATCAGGTACTATACTATGCTAATGTTTGTGCATGTGTGGCAGCACTGCTCAATGAGCATATCAAATTGTTAGAACACCAGTCCTAGCCCCACAGAGGCCCTACACAAAACCTGACTTGACCCTTTGCCTCTACCCCTCCCCTATCCCCCACATCCCCAACTTTGTCAACCACTGCACCCAGTGTCAACCTGCTGTGTGCCCTGAAGCTGAAACACAAATGGCTTTGCATATTTTGCATAATTTGGGGTGTACAGTTTATAATAATAATAACCTCCATAATGCACTACATGCACTACATTTCAGATTTACTTGCTAGTAGAAAGTTAGCTAGCATAGTCCTCCTGTAAACACCAGTAGCAACAAGCAAGTGACAGAAAGCTTTACAATGGTTTTGCTCACTCGCTCATAGTTTAATAAGAGGCCATAATAATTACCTATTAATGGGATAAAACACGTAGCTACTTGCATCTTGTTGTCTCATTTCACTGTCATAGTTATGTATTTCAGCCCCCGATGGGTGATGCCACTTCAAAGCCACCCTGTCACGTCTGCCGCAACTACGTCCATAAGGATAGCAGAAAAATAGCACAGCTCATTGTTGTTACACATGCTCAGGCCTATTGCTTACGGTTAGGGCTACATTCTTCATAAATGTATAAAAGGCTTATCAAAGAAATAACTATAAAATATATGATGTCATTCACTCTTTTGGTTTGGTGAGGAAAAGAAAAAGGACTACTTTTGGATTAGCGAATTAAGATTACTGGGTGGCTTGCTCACTCATTTCTGTGGTAGAAGAAACACTGATGTCATTCGTAACCATCTTGTGGAAGTTGTCCCACACTCGGTCTGCCTGGTTGCATCACAAGTTATGTGAGACCACTGTACAGGACTAGTTGATGTAATCACTGTTCCCTCATGATGATTTGATTTTCCATATTCAAAGATAATAATGACACATTGTTAAACAAATTAAACAGTGGTTTCATGGATACTGCAGGGCCTTCCCAATCAGCAGATCACTGAAGCTTTATGAAAGTTCTGGATCACTGAGAGAAAAAGAAAAGAAGATTTATGCCTTCTTCATCCCTCGAAAAAAACAGCAGGCTATATTTCTTGAAGAACAGCCCACTATGACACTGTACATTGTTCTATAAATCAAAGCCTGAAGGCTTTACTTTTTACTAGGTTTTTTAAATTAAGTGGCCCATATTATGAAATAATTAATTTACTCTTTTTTTCTGTGGAATGAAAGTAAATAAACATTGTTAGTTTCTAAACATACTGCTCACCTCCCAGTCCATACATTCCTAATATGGAAACTAAGTTGCCCATTTTAAATTTATTGTGTGTGTGATGTGACTGCCTTTAGCAGTTTTGCTCCGCCTATTTATGCAAAACTCATGAGTAATGTTTTAGCCCAGACTGTTTTTTGAATAAGGCACAATACAGGGCAGCAAACTGAAACAGAGGTTATATATCAGTCTTAAAAGCACAGTAACAAATACAGCCTGTTTAATTCTAAGGGGTAAGGAGAGGTTGGAAATGGTCAAATTAATAATAAAAGAAATTTAACAAGCATAAAAATGTGGAATATAAACTCTTTATTGTATTATTCCAATGCCTGTACATGCCCTTTTCTACACTTATGATTTTAATGTGTGCATGAATGTGCCCTCTGGCGGCTGTGGTGCCAACACCTCTAGCACTCTGGTTTGAAGAAATGAAAGTAAGCCACCATGAAAAGGTCACACATTGCACAGATGAGGCAGATATAACAACACACTTCAAGTGAGACGAGTTAGTGACTGACTTCTAGCTAAGCTATAAATGAGGACATGTAGAGTGATGATGAAAAGATCTTCAGTATCTCATTTTATGTTTATTTTTTACTATGCAAGCGAATATGGGAAACTGATGCTCACGTATTGGCCCGTGGGCGTGATCTGATCTGTTGCACATATAGGTTAACCACTGGAACCACTCGACTGGGAACAAAGTGTCTAAACATCTCGCTTTTCTCTCTCTTTCTCACTGTTTTTGTCTCTGTCTCTCTCTATCTAGTCTCAATAACATTTCTACTACAGACTTGCTCAGCATTTGGCCCCTTCTTTGAGTGTGTGCCAGTATGTGTGTGTCACTTGCTCTGCTGAGGTACTCATTTTGCCTTGATCCATTATTCATCTTCCCCCAGTGTATCAAAGCCCGGATGGCAAATTGGCTTTCACACACAAACACATACATGCTTTTACTCTCATTTTGAAAATATAACACAGAAATCACAGCTCAAAATCTCTCTACAGAGGAATGGCACTGCATCACTACAAGAAAGTGCACCGATTAAGCTGTGTGTGGTTAAGAAGGAGGATAATCTACAACATTGATATTGCTGATTAGACACGCAGGAAAGCGACTAATAGACCAAGCACAAAAGCATTACTAAAAAGAGAAAGCCTAACCAAACAGAGAAAGTGTAAAAAGAGAAGGAAATGATGCAATCATACGTAATTCACACTAATTCTGTGGCTAAATAGCACAAGGCCATTTACTATAATGCAGTAATACAAGCAGGCCAGAAATCAAGAGATTAAACACACATACTGTGATTTTCTTGTCTTACAATATAGACAGCTTTGCCCTGCCCAATCAAATATGTTTGCTTACAGCACAACGCTACTAGTCTGAACTATGGATGTGACAAACTGTGTGGAACTGACAAATAAAAAGATATTTCACCAATGCTATCGGTTAAAAATGGTAATTAATCAACAACTTTTGTCCTATTTGAATAGGCAGGTTTTTCATCCATGCAGACAAACACAAACAAATGTAAGTACAAGGATTCAATAGGCACTACTTTTATAGGCACTACCTTTCCACTAGAAAGGCAGACTAAAAAGTGAAGCACATGGCTAAAAATAATAGTGTTTTGGACCATTTTTGGAGAAGGTGACCGCATAACTACAATAAAATGTGCAAATATCCACAAGCAATAAAACAACTATTTTGTCCATGTTTTCAGAGAGAAAATGCGATGCACGGTATTATGAAGAAATCATTTATGGTTGTTCAGAATTATAGAGAATAACGTAGTGGACAGCAAACTATTGAGCTATTTCAAGAGCTATTGAGTGGAGCCAACTCTAGCCGAAGTTGTGGCACTTACATTCGTTTCAACCTGGGGAACTTTTTGGTCATAAAAATATTATAGTTGTCAGGCCCTCGATTTAAACAAAGTTGGTCCTCACACAGGGTGTGTTTATTATGGTTTTAGGGTCTTTTACTTCATATACATGTTGATGCCCATCTATTTGTAGTATATTCCATTCAAGAAACACTTTTTAATATCTCATTGCAATAATACAGAATTAATTTCCTGTGTGCACTTATGAGTGTGCATATATTAAATATTTCATGTGTGCACTTATGAGTGTGCATATATTAAATATTTCACAATGGCTTTAAACACAACTCAGCCAATCAGATTTCAGAACTGGGACTGTCCGTTTCATATTTGATATTTTGATGGATCCTGTGTCTTTGATGTTAGGCTTGCTGGTTAATGTTTAATCACTGACTAATGACGGCAGATATCAGTCAAAAGATGGCACCAAAATTTGCATCCCTAGCCAGAACAGAATGTTTGATTACTTGATGATACTTAACTGTGTTCAGGTTTATTATGAGTATTACTACACAATAAACCAGATATCATTCTACTCACTCAAATTATTTAGGTTTGTTGAATCATACAGCTTATACTTGCAAGTGTAGCCCAAGTGTATGTGTCTGTGTTTCTCACCCTGGTGGAATACTTCCACGACTGGTGGACACCACGATGCGCTGCGTTCCTGGGCGGTTCAGATTGTTCTGCCCATTAATCGTCAATGTGTGAGTGGCTGGAAGTGTCATGAGTGCTGGGGCACATGGGAAGTTCAGTGTACTCATCTCCACTTTCCCACCTCTTCCTCCGCCCACCGCTATGTTGTTATGGTGACCCCCAGCCACTGCTGCCGTGGACGACCAAAGGGTGGTGCCGGCAAACGTGTTGCTCTGTCGGACTGCAGGGGCCATCTGATCCCCTGCCCCCGCCGCAGCTGCCATGCTGTACAGTTTCCTCCTCTGCTGTGAGGCCAGGATGGCATTGGAGGCGGCGCGTGTGCTGTGCACCAGCAGGCACTGCTGGCAGGAGCAGGGCGTGCCGGAGCTAGTGCCCACAGGCCATGATTGGGACTTAGGGGATGGAGCCGGCGATGAGGGGGTAGGCTAGGTCCATCCTCCGGCGAATGCGGCGCCTCCTCTGGCTTTGCCGGTTTGTCTGGGCCATGCTGTCAAAGTCCACCAGGTAACTGAAGCCCAGCGAGCTGAGGTCCAACCATGGGTGCTGTTTCTCGTAGGCGTTCTGGATGCTCACACACAGCTCCATGTCGTAGGGAGTCCAGGAGCCGTTATCATTCTCCCATTCCCACACCACACCTTTCCCAGGGGCTGAAGATGGGTCATAGAAGTTACGCTGTACTGGGCGCATTGTCCCTGAGAGAGGAAGAGAAACACAGAGAAATCAGAGATTTAGTAGGGCCTGAAATTTTGGTCAGAACTTAAATGCAGTCCAAGAATGTTCTGAGCCTGACCTGCACCAACACACAGCATTGTGTTTTAAGCCCAAACCTGACCCAAGCCCAAATCATCAGTTTGTAAATCAGAAACTGATCGTTTGTTTTTATGAAAGTGACTGAAAAATCTTTTCCCGAACTGCCAAGTAAACCTGCCAGGAAAGAGCCAGTTTCTGTGTAGTGACAAAACAGTAAGATTAGATAACATATAAATAATATATAGAATTATATAAAATAATACATTATAACAAAATAATCAAGTTATATTTAAAACCTGCTTTAACAACATTATTCGTCAAGCAAAGTTTTTGACATTCCAAATGTTTTTAGTCTGAAAAAATCTCTCCACTCTGTGCAGTTCTAATTTGTACAGAATGTTATATAATATACTGAAGTAACATAAGAAATACTTTTAGCCGAACCCCTCAAACATCTTTTTGGCAGCACTATTTCGTACTTTCTTAAATTGTGTTTATTTCCAGGACATCCGTTTTCTCACGAGCACGGGCCTCTTAGACCTTAGAGCTAAATTCTGTCAAAAACACGAGTGACTCCAGCATGCCAGATTAAAACTGTTCAAATGTAATAAAAATAGAGAGTAGTAATAAAGTAAGGACATGAACTGAAGCAGGGAGAAATAATGGGTAAACTGTTAAAAGTGGGAGGCAGACTGTGATAACCCAAATGTGAAATTTGAACTCGACACAAATTTGGAAAAAGACATTCAAACTATGAATGTGCATTGTAACTAGGGGTAGCTTGGCCACTTTTTCATGTCGAACACTAATGCCAATACTGCAACCGAGTATCTGCTAAAACCGATGTCAATCCAATACCAATATTTTCCCTCTCTTAAACAACGAAGCTGTAAATAATATTTTGTCTGGATGTGCTTAACCTAGCTATTTAAATATCATCATGCTCAAACTATGAAACAATTATTCTACTCCCCCAAAGGAAGACATACATCGTCCACACTATGACTCAGTAATGCAATACTGCTTTTTTTATCCAAACTTTTTGACACAAAGAACTTTTAGCAGCATTTTTGATTGGTCAGCACAATTTAAACATTCAAAATGAAATTCAATGTGCAACTTTCTGTGAAAGTTTCAACACTCAGTGCCTATATCTTAATGACATGGCACAAAAGAAGTTGCAATGTACACCATAACCTATAACCTAACATAAAAATAATTGCATTTCCAGTATAAAATGTACAGTGGAACACAGTTAAGACATGGTATCTTAAGGCACTCAACTGAAATTGTAGGCTATTAGATCTAATATCAAGTTAGCTGCATTAATAACTCCAGACAGCTGACATGATGACCGCGCTGCTGGTCTCACTCATGTTTCATCTGTCTCGTGACTAGGGCTGTCAAAATTGACCAAACATGACGAATACATAGATTAAGTTCGAATTAGGCCTGGGTAATGTTTAAAAATAATTAGCACGATATTGTCTAGTTTAAAAATTGCGATTACTGATAATATCGCTGCCCCCCCCACACACACACAAAAAAAAAATACACACGGTCCATTTCAGTCTATGTGCTTTTTTTTTAAATATTAACTATTTTAATAAAAACCTATTTTATTTTTTAAATCTGTTTTTAGAGAACTACTTCATCTGTCATTATAATAAATGTTCCTGTAAACACTGTAAACACACTTTCAGGAGCTTCCTCTTGTGTGCTAAAAGACCTGCTGGAGGAACTTCAGACTGCAAGTGGTTTTCAAAGCCACATTCACAGGCTTCCCACATAAAAAACAAGCCGTTAGCTTATTTTAGCTTGTTGGTAGTTGCTCAATGCTAACTTTCAGTCAATTTAGCTTTTTTTTTAACTGCAGCAAATCCCTTTGAGGCGAGCTGAAGCTCCAGAGCATTCATTTTCTATTTCATGCACGTAGAGTAAATTGAGGGGAATCCGTGTTGTAAAGCTAGCATTACAGTGCGTAGCAGAGAGAAATAACACAGGCAGCTTCTTAACAAACCTCTCTCTCTTTCTCTCAGTGCGAAACTGACTACTCTCTCTCTCTCTCCTCCACCCCCTGTGAAACTGACTACACGTGTGTGAGCCTGCACACTTCTTAAACATGAACGCCAGTTTCCCAACATATTATTCAAGCTGTTTAACAGTAAATTAGTCTTAAAGTTTCTAAATGGGGCTTTTTAGATCACTCGGAGTTCAGATCACTCTCTTCGCAGCCGAGGTTGTGAACTCATTACCACATGGTTGCTGATGAATTATTTTCATGTTGCTCCTCTGGACCTACATTTCATTTTAAATCATGAAATTGATGTTGTGTGACCTCTTCCCGTTATGCAGTGCATTCATTAACACTAGATGCTAATGGAAACTCATTGTTTTCTAGAGGTGTTTTTTCCCTCTTCAGTGAACACTGTGCCAACGTTTAGTTTGTTAGAGAAGACCTAACATCGGCATAGCCTTCAGTTCTGCTAAAACATAAAATTGGTGTTTTACTGAATTGCCGGCTTGTGTCTTCCTGTGATGAAACACAATGAACACCTATACGAACAGTGATTCCAGTATTTGATTACAGGCACCTCAAATGGTTAACTGATTACTCGCGTACCACTACACATCCCTAGTCCAAATCCAGACATGAGCATCGGGTTCAGATAAATAACTCAAGCTCTAAGAGAGAGAGAGACAGGATAGTGAAGGATGGGTTTGTGCTCACCAGTCCACAGGGCACACCATTATAGAGCATTTACAACTATACAACAGGGATATCATCTCCCCACACGTTCATATGTCCCTTTAATTTAACGGTTAAGTGCTTTGCCCTTGAAGGCTGAGTAGCAGTTTTAACTGCTGCCCTTGAGGGGTGATAGGTGAGAAATTAAAACTCATGTTCAATAATAATGCTTCAGCAATCCATATACAAACTAACACAACAACATATGCAAACACATGCTCCTTATATGTAATTGTAGCAAAGTCATTCCAACATTCTCTTTACACACACAAACACACCCATGTATAAACATAATGCAACATTAGCACCAGTGCACACACACCATTAGTATCACAGCCCTGCCGCTGGCTGGGTCTCTGCGAGACACATCAGCAGAATCAGCAGGACCGACCTTGAATTCCCACAACTCCAGCTCAGTGGCTAATTTCATTTAGAGGAAGAGGGAGACATCTCACTTCTGCATTACCCAAGGCTAATAACCACTGCATCACTAAAGCCAGTTCAAAACTAAGAGTTCCAGCTTTAGAAGGACCGCAGACTGACTTTTGAAAAGTTTCAGATAAAGTTCGTTTACAACGAACCACTATTCACTAGTTTCACTGAGAAAATAAACCTGTTAACAGCAATTAGATCTTCATTAAAAGCAGCAATGCCTGATTCATAGGCTAATAGTTTACTAATGCCTTTAAAACAATTTGTGTTAAATTTATTTCGTCTCCAGAGACTACTAATGGGTGCGTGTAGTGTAGATCAATAACGCTAAAAGCCACAGGCAAGTTAAGCAGTAAGTTTACTCAAGCCAATTAATATTTCATTATGCCTCCCTTATCGGCATTCAATATCTCACTGAAACCAACAGCAAGTTTAGTTTCTCAGTGACATCTGAGTAAAGCCAGTCATACTGGACAAACTGGGGTGTAATGCTTTAGCATTTGAGTGACAGCACTGCCATCCTGTAATGCCAGAGCAGTTACTGTATTATTTACTGATCTGGTTGTGCAAGAAGCCTGGAAACTGTGGGCTAATGGCCTAGAAACAGGCTTGTTCATAAGAACTAATGAAGTTGCACACTGAAGCATCAGTATGACATTCTACAAGCAAGTCTGAATGTAGCTCAGGCCTTGAGAGAGGGACAAAAAGGGAGTGTATTAACTCAAATATAGGTTTGTGTGTGCTCTGCTTAGCTCCTTGTGTGCTGGGAATGGGATTATGGAGTAAGTTTTACGAATTTAGATACTTTCTCTGAGCCAAAGACAGCTAGACAGAAAGAAAGAGAGAGAGAGATAGATGGCAGTGACCTACAGCAAGGGCATCCATAATCCCATATATCCTAACCTTAAGGAAGCATCTATATACAGTATGCAGCTATGTATGTTAGTGTGTGTGCATTTACCTTATAAAAATCAGTGTTTCCTCATAGAAATTTTTTATTAGTGGAGGACATTGGTCATTGAAGGAGGGGTGGTTATTGAAGGAGCAATGGGGTAGAGGGGATGGTACAAGCTAATGAAATATAGCTGTTTTGATTATGGACACAATATGGCATTAAAGTTATAATTTATCATGCTTCTAGCTCTGGTTGGGCAGAGGGGCTCAGAAAAAACTAAGCATGTTAGTGGCTCAGCGATGGCTAAGAACTACAAATACTACAGCATACAGATTTGCACTCTCGAATATAATATACAGGTGTCATTTTAGCATCAGTAAGCTGGAACCAAGCCTATGCTGTGGTGTGTGGTATGTTTGGCCTGCTAACTAAGCTTGAGTTTGCTTAGCCAAAATGCTACAGAAACATTAAACAAAAGGTTCAACTTTGGCTTTCTGTCACTCCAACACCAGTCACTCAATTTTTCGGATTGGTCAACAGACTCGACTCAAAGTGTCAGTGGATGGCTACCAGCCCGGCTAACAGCAACCATAACTCTTTCAACACAGAGAAACGGATAAATAATCACAGAGGACTTTCAGTGTTGGACTTGTCATTATAGATTTATTTTCATGAAGTCTCCAAAAAGACTGGATTACAAAGCGTCTGAATGTGATACAATCGCAACACAGCCCTCACTGAAATGGCTAAACTAACCTGTTTGCTCAAGAAAAGAATAATTGCTGGTGGGACTAGTGGGAAGTGATCCAGATTACTGGGTGGTCTGCCCACTAATTTCAAAGGTAGAGGAAACACTGTACCTTGAA